GGAGAGGAGTGCACAAATTCATGGAGAGGGCTATTTTTTTTAATTTAAAAAATTATTTAGTTTTACACATTCACTCACATAGATAACGTTGTTACAAATATAATAATTTTGCACAAGATTCTTCCGAATCCCAAGACTTTCTTCCTCCCCTCCGTGGTTTCTTTAAACAACTCTTTTTTTAAAACTGCATGTTGTAAGTCCATCTAATTTACCATCCTCAATTATATCCAAAGTCTGTGTATCGTTGCAGGAGTTACTTAAAGCCTGCCAAAGAGTTCATGTGTTTGCAGTAGTCTTTCAAATACAGTACAGTGGTACCTCGGGTTAAGAACTTAATTCGTTCCGGAGGTCTGTTCTTAACCTGAAACTGTTCTTAACCTGAAGCACCACTTTAGCTAATGGGGCCTCCCGCTGCTGCCGCGCGATTTCTGTTCTCATCCTGAAGCAAAGTTCTTAGCCTGAGGTACTATTTCTGGGTTAGTGGAGTCTGTAACCTGAAGCATCTGTAACCTGAAGTGTCTGTAACCTGAGGTAAAGGTAAAGGGACCCCTGACCATGAGGTCCAGTCGCGGATGACTCTGGGGTTGCAGCGCTCATCTCGCTTTACTGGCTGAGGCAGCCGGTTTACAGCTTCCAGGTCATGTGGCCAGCAGGACTAAGCCGCTTCTGGCAAACCAGAGCAGCACACAGAAACACCGTTTACCTTCCCGCCGGAGTGGTACCTATTTATCTACTTGCACTTGACATGCTTTCGAACTGCTAGGTTGGCAGGAGCAGGGACAGAGCAACAGGAGCTCACCCCGTCACGGGGATTTGAACCACCGACCTTCTGATCGGCAAGCCCTAGGCTCTGTGGTTTAACCCACAGCGCCACCCGCGTCCCGAGGTACCACTGCATATATTTGTCCCGTTCTTTGTTGAAGTTTTGATCCTCCTGGTTTCTGATTTCCCCGGGTAATCATGCCATTTCTGTGTAATCCAGTAATTTCATCTGCCAGTCATACCTAGTATGTATCATGTTGTCTTTCCAGCTCTGGGTAAAACCAGAGAAGTATCTCCTGCTTAGACTACTGCCATGCGCTTTATGTGGGGCTACCTTTGAAGGTGACCCGGAAACTACAACTAATCCAGAATGCGGCAGCTAGACTGGTGACTGGAAGCAGCCGCCGAGACCACATAACACCGGTCCTGAGAGATCTGCATTGGCTCCCAGGACGTTTTCGAGCACAATTCAAAGTGTTGGTGCTGACCTTGAAAGCCCTAAACGGCCTCAAAGGCCAGTATCCCTGAAGGAGCGTCTCCACCCCCATCGTTCTGCCCGGACACTGAGGTCCAGCACCGAGGGCCTTCTGGCGGTTCCTTCATTGCGAGAAGTGAGGTTACATGGAACCAGACAGAGGGCCTTCTTGGTAGTGGCACCCGCCCTGTGGAATGTGAAGCCCTTCAGATGTGAAGGAAATAAGCAGCTGTCTTCTCTTTAAAAGACATCTGAAGGCAGCCCTGTTTAGGGAAGATTTCAATATTTAATGCTGTATTGTTTTTAACACTTGATTGGGAGCCGCCCAGAGTGCCTGGGGAAACTCAGCTAGATGGGCGGGGTATAAATAATAAATTATTATTATCTGGCTATGGTCGGAGGCAGAGATGCTTTTGAATCCCGGGTTGCTGGAAACAGAGAGTTTCCCACAGGCCTCTGTTTGGCTGCCGTAAGACGGAGGATGCTGGACTCAATGGGCCTTTTGCCTCATCCAGGCGGCTGTCTTGAGCTTCTGAAGTCTTGGCAGACGGAATGGAGAGAGAGGTTTGCGATGTGATGTGCGTGGCATCCTTGCATCCTTCTCCTCCTCCATCCGGTCCTCTCCTTTCCATCTCTGCTCCCAGGCTCCATGTTTTGCCCCCTTGCCCTTCCCCATAGCGTGGTGAAAAGTTCTCATATGGTCCTGGGGACAGGGAGGGCGAGGAGTGGGGAGGAGGGCGATGTCGGAGGCCTCCGCTTTTTCCTCTCTGACCTGCCGCCTCTCTTGAATGAATTCATTGTTTCCCAGACGGAGCGACCTTTTGCTCTCGCCCTCTCCAGGATGGAGTGACGCATCCCCCTTCAGTTTACCCAACCCTCTACGGGTTTTTACAAGACTTCCAGGGGACAGGGCTGGAACAAAGGCTGTTGTGTGGGGAGGGCGAGCAAGGCGGTCCAAGAAGAGCTGCCGGTTTAGCCAAGAACCACCAGTCACAGAGAGAGAGATTTTTCTGCCTCCACCACCCACAGACCTCATAGGAACTTAGGAAAATAGGAAACTGCATTATACAGCCAGACCCAAAATTTCGACGCCTCTCGCACTGGTTTAACCCCTTTCCGTTTTAACAATACAAATTCTGCGAACATTCACCATATCTCTTCAAAATCATTTCTTCTACATATTCCCCGTCTTACCTTAATGGCACATTTTAATTTATCATTAAATTAAATTTCTCAGACTAGCCGCCTGAGAAACAGTTTCTACCCAAATGTGATTTTGGTTTTAAACGCATTGTAAGGAGTCTGTAGGGACGCGGGTGGCGCTGTGGGTTAAACCACAGAGCCTAGGGCTTGCTGATCGGAAGGTCGGCGGTTTGAATCCCCACGATGGGGTGAGCTCCCATTGCTCGGTCCCTGCTCCTGCCAACCTAGCAGTTCGAAAGCACGTCAAAGTGCAAGTAGATAAATAGGTACCGCTCCGGCGGGAAGGTAAACCGTGTTTCCATGGGCTGCTCTGGTTCGCCAGAAGCGGTTTAGTCCTGCGGGCCACATGACCCGGAAGCTGTAGGCCGGCTCCCTCGGCCAATAAAGCGAGATGAGCGCCGCAACCCCAGAGTCGGCCACGACTGGACCTAACGGTCAGGGGTCCCTTTACCTTTACCTTTTTAAGGAGTCTGTATGGGAGTATATTGTATTTAAAAATGGGGTATCAGAGTTTTTAGGGGGCTAACCAGGCTGGGATAGCAGGCTTGTTGGGTTTTGAATGTCTGATGTAGATTTTTCAATTTCGTTGTTCTGTATGGGACAATGACAATAAAGATTATCGTATTGTATCGTATTAATAGCTATATCCCAAACCTCTTTGTACCATTCTTCCATTTTGTATTCTGCTAGCCCCCTTCCACTTCCTTAGCAAAACAAACCTCTGGTTACGTGAAACGTACTCAGTGAACACACAAGACGTAACCGGCTGTACTTTTGAATAAATAAGGTATAATGTCCATTGTATCAAATTGCAGATTTCAACGGAAGTCCCATAAAGTTCAACGAAAAAAGCAGAAGACCCAGTGGATCAGTTCATTCTCTAGCTCAGCCTTTCTCAAGCTGTGGGTCCCCAGATGTTGTGGAACTACAACTCCCATCACCCCTAGCTAGCAAGGCCAGAACTCAGGGATGATGGGAGTTGTAGGCCAACAACATCTGGGGACCCACAGCTTGAGAACCACTGATCTAGTCAGTTCATGCATAAGGTCCATACATGTATAAGTGTCTATTCCACCTGTCTGTTCATAGAGTCCAACAATCCACAGGGAAGGTTGTTACAGTTCCACAGAATCCTTTCACAGAGTCTAAGACGAGGATTTCCGGAATATTAGCCTTGTTTCGCCATCCTAAGCTTCATCAGTAGAACAGGCTCATATGTAATATTACAGGATAGTGGACCTTATAGCATAGCAGTGGTTGCTGTCAATAAATTTGTGAGTGAGTCCTTCATAGCCTACGAACCTTCCACCCCTGGGCTTTTGTTCAGCTTTAACCCCGTGATTTCTGTTATCTCCTTAAACACCCTTTGCCCCAAAAAATTGTACATATTTACACCCCCACCACATGTGAACATAATTCCCCGTTTCCCGGCTGGCCCCTCCAACATAACAACGAATATCCCTTGTTTATTTGATTTAATCTGACGTGTTAAATACCACCTCCAGGCAGGGGTCTCTTGCAGCCCACTCTGAAGATGCCCTCAGAGATTCGAACCTTCTGCATGCAAGCCAGGTTCTTGGCCCCTGACCTATACAGTCCTTTCCCATTGCAGGTTGAGGCTAAAGAAGGGATTCGGTTCTGAAAAGGTTCAGGGTGCACAGTAGGGCTGGGCGCTAATCTGGTTTTCAACTTCGTGATATATCAGCAGCTAAGGTAAAGGACCCCTGGACTCTTAAGTCCAGTCAAAGGCGACTATGGGGTAGCAGCGCTCATCTCACTTTCAGGCCGAGGGAGCTGGCATTTGTCCGCAGAGAGCTTTCTGGGTCATGTGGCCAGCAGGACTAAACCGCTTCTGGTGCACGGAGGACTGTGATCAGTGCCAGAGCGCATGGAAACGCCGTTTACCTTCCCGCTGGAGTGGTACCTATTTATCTACTTGCACTTTGTGTTTTCGAACTGCTAGGTTGGCAGGAGCAGGGACCAAGCAACGGGCGCTCACCCCGTCGCGGGGATTCGAACCGCCGACCTTCTGATCGGCAAGCCTCAGTGGTTTAGACCACAGCGCCACCCGCGTCCCTCAGCAGCTAAACATTGTGCTATACATATAGATCACAATGTTTGAAATAAACATCGTGCTATACGGATAAATCACAATGTCTGAAATAAGGATGGAGCTCTGTAGAGCCATGGGCTGGCTTCACGGTTTTTCCCACATTGTGATTTTTTGCACAGCACACACATACATCATTTTTTGGCAATATATTGCCAGGTCACAAATAATGAAACCATTATCATGATATGGGCTTCGAATCAATTTTGGACATTATATCACCCAGCCCTGGGATGCGGGTGGTGCTGTGGGTTAAACCACAGAGCCTAGGACTTGCCAATCAGAAGGTCGGCGGTTCGAATCCCTGCGACGGGGTGAGCTCCGTTGCTTGGTCCCTGCTCCTGCCAACCTAGCAGTTCAAAAGCACGTCAAAGTGCAAGTAGATAAATAGGTACCGCTCCAGCGGGAAGGCAAACGGCGTTTCCGTGCGCTGCTCTGGTTCGCCAGAAGCGGCTTGATCATGCTGGCCACATGACCTGGAAGCTGTACACCGGCTCCCTCGGCCAGTAAAGTGAGGTGAGCGCCGCAACCCCAGAGTCGTCCGCGACTGGACCTAAGGGTCAGGGGTCCCTTTACCTTTACCTTACCCTAGCATGCGGCGTCCCTAGAAATATACAGTACAGGAAATGTGCTGGCTGAGAATGGTGTTCTGGGGAGCAGAGATGGTAAACAGCCTGCCCTTTTTAAAATTGTGATGAAGAAGAAAGCAAGTTTGAAGGCTAAAAATGTAAGATCAGGACGACACGAAAAACTCCCACTCCATGCAGTTCCCTGTGAAAGCTTGTGCACCGTTTAAAAGTGCAAAGAGGCAAAGGGAAAGTCTGAACTCTTTGCAGCTTTATGGTGGCCACAGATTCTGGTTTCCTCGCCTTGCCTCTTCCATCTACCATAATTTTCTTTTTACTATCGGACGGAATGTACAGCTTCGTATTTCGCGGTGCATCAAACTGCTGGTGCAGGACCTTCAGAGAGCTCCCCTGAACCCTTTCTAACAGTTTCCTTCCTTCCTCGCAGGACGGGCGCCGGAGACCACATCACCATGCCCGAGGGAGCCCGCAGGGGCAGCACCAAGAGAGGCGGCAAGGCAGGTACGTACGCAAACCCACACGCCAGCAGAGATTGTGCAGCCCCAAAGCTGTCTATGGGGCAGCTTGGCCGAGGGGAGCTGTTTCCGTCCCAAACTTTTCCCGATTGGCAAAAGCTGCCTTATTGGAGATCTCTGTCTCTGAAAAAGCCCAGCCCGGCGTGGGTTCCCCTTCCAGTGCCTGAGGCTTTTGACAAATAAATCCCAACCAAAGTCCGCTCGTCGGTTTTTGAGCCTGTGCGTCTCTCTCTCTCTCCACCTAGCCGCACGCTTTTTGCAAGCGGCGAAAGCTTTAGATGCAAGATTGTGGTACTTGGGGGGGGGGGCGGGAGGGAGGAAGCGGAGGAGAATAAGTGTGCGGCCCTTTGCACAACTGCCTCTCCTCCCGGCATCCTTCGCGAGGCAAACCACAGCTTCAAAAGGTGAGAGAGAGAGAGAAGAGAAAGCCACAAAAGGATGTTGAAGAGAGCGAGGAGGTTTTCTATTTTTTGAAAAGCCGGGGAGGGAGAAGGTGAATGCAGAAGACTTGTGGTGAGGTGGGGGGCTAGGAAAAAAGACCGACCTCCTGTTGAACAGCTCCTTTGCACGTGGGGCTGGCCAGAGATGGGTCAGGGCAGACGTCCTTTATGGTAGGGGGCTGAGCGTGCAACTTTTTATTTATTTCCAACCCCTGCTGCGTTCTCTCTTTTCCGTTTCCTCCTGGCCCCCCGGCCCGCAGCACCCCGGCCCTCGTCCGTCTCCTCGCTGAGTGGTCTCGGCTCCAGCATGGCGTCCGACCCCATCTTGGGCAGCTGCACCTCAGTCAACACCGTGTGCTCGGACAGCGACCGCCCGGTCAGCCTCAGCTCCTCGGCGTCGTCCGCCTCGCTGCCGGACAGCCAGAGTGCCTTTGGCAGCAGCGGGGGGCTGGGGGGCTGCCCCCCAACTTACCCCCAGCACCAGAACGGCAGCGACATCAGCCTGGACCTCACGCCGGTGGCCTTGCTGGACAGGCCGGGGGAAGCCCAGGCGGGCCCGGGTTGGTCGCCGAGTCCGGGCAGGGCCAGAGAGCGCCGGATGAAGCTGTCTCACCTGGACTGGGTGGTGATGGAGATCGTGGAGACGGAGCAGTCTTACGTCCGGGACCTCAGGAGCATTGTGGAGGTAAGGACAGAATGAAGGAAGGAAGAGCAGACAGGGCTGAGCGCCTGGCCTCCCCTTGCATTTTGATCCTGCCTTTCCCTCCCAGGGGCTTCTTGGCAACAGCCCTGTAAGGTAGGGCGGCAACATGAAAACAGGGCCTTTTCGGTGGTGGCTCCCCATTTGCAGAATGCTCTCCCTAGGGAAGCTCCCTTGACACCTTCATTATCTATCTTTAGGCGCCAGGCAGAAAATGTTCCTCTTCAACCAGGCCTTGGGCTGTTAAGCAATCCATGGTTGTTGTTGTTGTTGTTTTTAAAATAGGGGGGTATTGTTTTGTTTGTTATTGTGTTATGTATTTTTGTGTTTTTATGCTGTGTTCTTCAGATGAAGGGTGGTGTGTCAATGTAGTGAACGAAATTAGATAAGGTAGCTTAGGCTGAAAGATGGTCAGGCTTGGCTTCGTGGCTGAGCACTTTTCAACCCAGCCTAGAACGCTCCATAGCATGTTGATGGAGTATTGCGTAAGGTTCTGGTCGCCTTTCCTCAAAAAGGAGTTGGAAAAGGTTCCGCCAAACTGATCGAGGGGATGGAGCGACTCCCCGGTGAGGAAAGGTTGGGGCTTTTTAGTTTAGAGAAAAGGCGAGGAAGAGGCGGCGTGACAGAAGCATGTGAAATGATGCACAGCGTGAAGAAAATGGAGAGAGATTTGGGTTTCCCCTCCTTTCTCATAACACTAGAAGCTGAATGCTGGAAGATTCAGGACAGGCTAAAGAAAGTCCTTCTTCACGCAGCGCAGAGTTAAACTATGGAACTCATTGCCACAAGAGGCAGTGATGGTTGCCAACCTGGATGCCTTTAAAAGGGGAACGGACGGATTTATGGAGGGGAGGGTGATCAGTGGCTAGATCAGGCAAGATCCTGCTTGCAAGTTTCCCACAACGGGCATCCGGCCGGCCTCTGCGAGAACAGAATGTTGGAAATAATAATAATAATAATAATAATAATAATAATAATAATAATAAATTTTATTTATACCCTGCCCTCCCCAGCTAAGACCTGGCTCAGGGCGGCTAACACCAAATATAAAAACAATTGATTGAAATACAGCTTGAAAACAAGATTAAAATACAACATTAAAATGCAGCCTCATTTCAGTAGAAACTCAAATCAAAAACTTTTTGGGGATGGAAACGTCAAATCTTCACCAAGGCTAGCTATCCAGACTGATCCTACGTGGGCCAGAAAAAAGCCAGGGAAGTCCCCAGATAGGAGTTCCATCACAGAAGGAGAAAGGGAAAAAAAAGAAAGAAAGAAAGAAAGAGGGGAAGGGAATCAAATTGATTCCAAGCCAAAGGCCAGGCGGAACAACTCTGTCTTGCAGGCCCTGCAGAAAGAAATCAGATCCCACAGGGCCCTGGTCTCATGAGACAGAGTTTTCCACCAGGCCGGGGCCAGTGCTAAAAAGGCCCTGCCTCTGGTTGAGGCTAAGCTGACTTCCTTAGGGCCCGGGACCTCTAGGGTGTTGCTATTTATGGACCTTAAGGTCTTCTGTGGGGCATACCTCCTTTGGCCTGATCCGGCAAACCTGTTCCTATGTTCTTAACCCCGAAGTGCGGGAACAGAGTATTACATCACACCATACAAAAAGCAAACAAGCAATAGTAAATAATAAAATCGTTGTTGCTCTCGCTGCGAGAAGTGAAGTTACAGGCAGCCAGGCAGAGGGCCTTCTCGGTGGTGGCACCCTCCCTTCAGAAGTCAAAGAGATAAAGAACTATATGAGTTTCATAAGACATCTGAAGGCAGCCCCTGTGCTGGGAAGTTCCTGTGTTCTTGTTCTGACTTTAGTGTGAGGTGCAGCTAAGGAAATGTAAGTTGCACAAAAAAACACACAAACCCCAGACCCTCCAAGCGCCCCTATTTTCCAGGGACAGTCCCAAATTTACGGAATCCGTCCCGGTTTCTGATTTGATCCAGGAATGTCCCACTTAAGGCGTTCCTATTTTCATGGGAGAAATGTTGGAGGGTGTGGAGTTATGCGACTCCGCGAGCCAAGGAAATAAGTAACTACGCAACCTTTAGAAGACATCTGAAGGCAGCCCTGTGTGGGGAAGTGTTTTTGTTTAATGCTCAATGTTTTACAGTCATACCTTGGGTTACAGACGCTTCAGGTTGTGCGATTTCGGGTTGCGCACCGCACCGAACCCGGAAGTACCGGAATGGGTTACTTCCGGGTTTTGGCACTTGTGCATGTGCAGAAGCACTAAATTGCACTTTGCACATGTGCAGAAGCGCCGAATCACGACCCATGCGTGCGCACATGCCGTGCTGTGGGTTGCGAGCATGCTTCCCGCACGGATCATGTTTGCAACCCAAGCGTCCACTGTATTATGTTTTTATATGTGTTGCAAGCCACCCAGAGTGGCTGGGGAAACCCAGCCAGATGGGCAGGGTATAAATAAAATAATATTATTATTATAAATCGTAAGAGAAAGACACGGTGACGCGCCAATGTCAAGCCAAGCCTCCCATTTTCCTGGTGTGTATCGTGGATTTGGCGCATCTTAAATCCAAAGCAGAGGAAATATAATTCCACCAGATGACATAAGAAGCATCTGGATCCTCCCCGGAAACATGTAGTTTATGCGTAATTTCCCCCGCAGTCGCCAAAGACCGTAAGCTCTTACACCACACAGCCCAGTGCAGACTTTTTCCGGTTTCTCGTTGCTGGGCTGTTGAAATCCTGGCTGCATCTAACACCCACGCCGAAAGCTCTTTGTAGCGAGAAGGTTTCATGTTGCCCTTCCACATATTCAGTAATCTGGGGAAACCCAGGCAGGTGATTTCTTTTGAGATCCACCGTCTTAAGGAAGCCGTTCGTTCCTCCCTTTCCCTGGCCTGTCTGCATTCTGCTTTTCAGAAGAGCAGGAGTTAACATGCGCGTTCCTGGCACACCTCCACGGCGGCGTTTAAAATTCAATGTTTGCTTCTCGGCCGACCTCAATGACATAAATTAACGGGGCGGTTCTTCGCTGTAATGTGTGAGAGAGCGAACAGCCAGGTGTTTCCTGATCCGATTTTTCAGAGTTTTTGAACCACTGTGTTCTTCTCCTTACCTGTTCCTGAAAAAAGCAAGAGAGAGCTGTTGTCTTGGTGCCTCGCGAGGTGGGCTTCTCAGAGGCATTTGGCTGTACAGTGGTACCTCGGGTTACAGAACTTTGCTTCAGGATGAGAACAGAAATCGCGCGGCAGCAGCGGGAGGCCCCATTAGCTAAAGTGGTGCTTCAGGTTAAGAACAGTTTCAGGTTAAGAACGGACCTCCGGAACGAATTAGGTTCTTAATCCGAGGTACCACTGTAGTCTGATCACACCGGAGTGACTGCCCTGTGAGGAATGGTTGCAGCATTTGGGACTTTTTAGTTTGGGGGGGGGAGGCAAGCAAGAGAGGGGAGGGGTTTTCTCCCATAAAATGCTAGAAATTGTGGACATCCAACAAAGTTGAATGTTAGAAGATTGACGGACTACTGCCATGCGCTCTACGTGGGGCTACCTTTGAAGGTGACCCAGAAACTACAACTAATCCAGAATGCAGCAGCTAGACTGGAGACTGGGAGCTGCCGCCGAGACCACATAACACCAATCTTGAAAGACCTACATTGGCTCCCAGGATATTTCCGGGCACAATTCAAAGTGTTGGTGCTGACCTTTAAAACCCTAAACGGCCTCGGTCCAGTATACCTGAAGGAGCGTCTCCACCCCCATTGTTCTGCTGGACACTGAGGTCCAGCTCTGAGGGCCTTCTGGCGGTTCCCTCATTGCAAGAAGCTAAGTTACAGGGAACCAGGCAGAGGGCCTTCTCCGAACTGGCACCCGCCCTGTGGAATGCCCTCCCATCAGATGTCAAGGAAATAAACAACTATCGGACTTCTAGAAGACATCTGAAGACAGCCCTGTATAGGGAAGTTTTTAGTGACTGTTGTTTTAATGTATTTTTAATATTTTGTTGGAAGTCGCCCAGAGTGGCTGGGTAAACCCAGCCAGATGGGGGGCGGGTAATAAATAATAAATTATTATTACTATTATTATTATTATTGGCAGGCAAAATAAAATACAGTGGTACCTCGGGTTACATACACTTCAGGTTACAGACTCCGCTAACTCAGAAATAGTACCTCGGGTTAAGAACTTTGCTTCAGGATGAGAACAGAAATTGCACGGCGGCAGCATGAGGCCCCATTAGCTAAAGTGGTGCTTCAGGTTAAGAACAGTTTCAGGTTAAGAACAGACCTCCGGAACGAATTAAGTACTTAACCCGAGGTACCACTGTACTTCTTCGTGCAGCACAAGGTTAAACTTTGGAACTCCCTGCCTCAGGAAGCAAGGACAGCTACCAACCTAGATAGTTTTAAAACAGGACTGGGCAAATTCTGGAGGAAGTTAAGGCTATCAATCGCTACTCCTCATGACAGCTGTGGGCTGTCTCCACGGTCAGAGGCAGAAGTCTGTTGGCATTGGGTCCTGTTTGCAGGTTTCCCCAGAGACACATCTGGTTGGCCACGCTGAGAATAGGATGCTGGACTGGACGGGCCGCTGGCCTGATCCTGCGGGCTTTTCTCATGTCCTCGTGTTCACAGGGATGCTCTTAAATTCTCTCGCCAAGGCCTGAGCCACACTGCGGCCCACTGCGGTCAGGAAACACATATTTAAATTTTCCTTCCTGCCCGTGCGTCACAGGGAAAGGTGCTCCCCTCGTCTTCAGCCTGTGAGAGTTTCCTGTGCACAAAAAGGATTCTCGTTTGGACAGACATGCCCCCCAGCAAAATCAGGCCAGCGTTTTGAAACGCTGTAGCTCCAAGACAGGGCTGTGTGCCCTACACTTCGCTGCTGCATAGAGATTGGCTTTAAGTTGTTGCTCTGCCCACTGAGCGCAACTGCCCTTCCCTGAGCAACGCTGAATGCTGGAAAAATTATGATATAATATAATATAATAATATAATATACAGTCATACCTCGTGTTGTGTTCACTTTAGGTTGCATTTTTTCGGGTTGCAGACTGCCAAAACCCGGAAGTACAGGAACAGGTTACTTCCGTGTTTTGGCGGTCGCGCATGCGCAGAAGTGCTAAATCGCGCTTTGCGCATGTGCAGACACAGGTTGCGAACGCTGCGGGTTGTGAACGTCCACTGTATAATATAGTGATACCTCGGGTTACAGACGCTTCAGGTTACTGCCTCCGCTAACCCAGAAATAGTACCTCAGGTTAAGAACTTTGCTTCAGGATGAGAACAGAAATCGTGCTCCAGCGGCAGTGAGAGGCCGCATTTGCTAAAGTGGTGCTTCAGGTTAAGAACAGTTTCAGGTTAAGAATGGACCTCCGGAACGAATTAAGACGTACTCGGGTCCAGGGGGTCACGAAGAGGCAGACACGACTAAACGACAATGTAGTGGTTCTAGGGGTTGCTCGTGCGTAAGCCGGTGCAAACACCTGGCTGGGTTGCCTGAGTGAACCTTTTCTGTCCAGACAGCCACTCACCTGTGGCTGACTCAATCGCTGGCAGAATCCGTCAGTGGGCGTTTCTTAAACTTCTTCCAGCAAAGAAGCTCTTTGACACCTAGTCACCTCCTACTCTCTCTGCGCGGAAGCCTTCTGCGCAAGGAGGGCGTAGGCAGCGGAGGACCCCTACTCTCCCCGCTGGTCCCCGGCAAGGAGTCATGGGACCGCCTCGCCGCTTCCCCCATCTGCCCCCCTTCTCCACTGGTGCTACGCTGATTCTCTTCCCCAGAAGATGGGCTGCTTCTCCCAATCCCGGGACGCTCTCCGGAATCCCTCTGGATCTTGCTCTCTCCCTCCGGCACTGATGACAGTTCCCTGACAGACAACAATAATATTTAATGCTGTATTGTTTTTAACACTTGATTGGGAGCCGCCCAGAGTGGCTGGGGAAACCTAGCCAGGCGGGCAGGGTATAAATAATAAATTATTATTATTATAACAAAATAGATGGCTTTAAAGGAGGATTGGGCAAATTCATGGGGCAAATTCATCTGGGATAAGAGGATGCTGAACTAGACGGGTCCTTGTCTTCCTCCAGAAGGTCTTCTTTGAGCCCTGGAATTGCCATCAGGCGTTGACTCCGCAGCCCCGCCAGGGTGGAAGCAACTGCTGGAGGCGAGCCCATTTGCCATCGCCTGTCGAGCCTCTTCCTCCAGCCTCTGCTTCGCTTTACTGCTGGAATTTCTGGAATTCTCTGGCCTCTCCTGGGACCACTGAAAGAGGAGAGGAAAGCCGACTGGGGTCTGTCTGGCTGCGGAGACGGTTTCTTGCGTGCCTCTAAATTAAGACTCGCCCGATCGCCCCTCTCTCATTGTCCGCGCATCGTCTCCCTGAATTCCCAATGGCTCTTTGGCCCGTTTGCAAGCGACACGGAGCTACTCCTCTTACGAGGAACGGTTGCCGCGTTAGGGACCTCTTGTTGTTGTTGTTGCTTAGTCGTTTAGTGGTGTCCACCTCTTCGTGACCCCCTGGACCAGAGCACGCCAGGCCCTCCTGTCTTCCACTGCCTCCCGCAGTTTGGTCAGACTCATGCTGGTAGCTTCGAGAACACTGTCCCACCATCTCATCCTCTGTCGTCCCCTTCTCCTTGTGCCCTCCATCTTTCCCAACATCAGGGTCTTTTCCAGGGAGTCTTCTCTTCTCCTGAGGTGGCCAAAGTCTTGGAGCCTCAGCTTCAGGATCTGTCCTTCCAGTGAGCACTCAGGGCTGATTTCCTTCAGAATGGAGAGGTTTGGTCTTCTTGCAGTCCATGGGACTCTCAAGTCTCCTCCAGCACCAGAATTCAAAAGCATCCATTCTTCAGCGATCAGCCTTCTTTATGGTCCAGCTCTCACTTCCATACATCACGACTGGGGAAACCATAGCTTTAACTATACGGACCTTTGTTGGCAAGGTGATGTCTCTGCTTTTTAAGATGCTGTCTAGGTTTGTCATTGCTTTTCTCAGGGACCTCTTAGTTTAGAGGAAAAGCGAGTAACTGGTGGAACGAGTAATATTTATAAAAACGATGCGCAGCATGGAGAAAGTGAGCAGAGGAAAATTTTCTCCTCCTCTCTCATAGCGCTAGAACTGGTGGGTGTCCGATGAAGGTGAAGGCTGGAAGATTTGGGACTGATGAAAGGAAGTCCTTTTTCACAAAACACATACAGTGGTGCCTTGGTTCTCAAACTTAATCCGTTCCGGAAGTCCGTTCCAAAACCAAAGTTTTCAAAAACCGAGGCCTGTAGAAAATAATGCAAAAGGGATTAATCTGTTCCAGACTTTTAAAAACAACCCCTAAAACAGCAATTGAACATGAATTTTACTATCTAACAAGACCATGGATCCATAAAATGAAAGCAATAATACAATGTACTGTACTATAAAATAAATAAGACAGTATTGTAGAGGCGATAAAAATTGCTTGGATGGGGGGCTTTTATCCATTTCCACAGTCACACAATCAATTAATCTGTAGCTGAACTAGGTTCTACACAGTCACAAAAACGAATTAACCCAAAAAGCCTCAAAAACAAAAACACAAAATAAATAGCAAAAACAAAAGCGCCAAACTTAATCCGTTCCAGAAGTCTGTTCGAAGTGTTGGAAAACCAAGGCGCAGCTTCTGATTGGTGCAGCCGACAGCCGCATCAGATGTTCAGCTTCCGAAAAACATTTAAAAACCGGAACACTTACTTCCTGGTTTACAGAAGTTTGAGGACCAAAGCTTTTGAGAACCAAGGTGTTTGAGAACCAAGGTACCACTGTAGTTGAACTATGGAACTCACTGCCACAAGAGGCCATGGTGACCTCCAACTTGGATAGCTGTAAAAGAGGATTGGGCAAATCCACAGAGGAAGAGAGGGCCGTCGATGCTCCTGGGACGTCTCCTGCAGTGTTGCTCACTTCCTCAGAAAGCCGCCTGAACAGCTGAACAGCTCGGGACCAGAAAGGGTTACTTCCAGGTTTCGCCACTCGCGCATGCGCAGAAGCACAAAATGACGTCATGCGCATGCACAGAAGCCCCGAATTGCAACCCGCACGTGCACAAACACGCCGCTGTGGGGTGCGCCCTTTTCGTGTTGCAAACGGGCCTCCAGAACGGATCCCATTCGCAACCAGAGGTGACACTGTACTATCATCATCATCACCTTTCTCTTCTGGGCGGCTGGTCCAAGAGATGCTTCTTCCAGCATCCTCTCCCAGGCCTCTTGGCAGTTGGGGACAAACAGAGAGCGGCTGCAGCGTTTAAACATTGGCTGTTTCCGTCCCTGCAGAGATGGGACGACATGAGGGTCCCTTATGGGAAAGGACAGAGTCTTTGTGCTGAGGTCACATTATTTCTTCTTCTTCTTCTTCTTCTTCTTCTATCCCTCGTAGCCGGGTAAGATTGTCTTCCATAAACACAGTTTTAACAGTGAGTCCGTAAGTGACTGTGGAGGCCGATTTTGGACCCACACGTCCTTCCACAGTGGGGACATCGGTTTCCAGGCAGGAGTAGATCACGGTGTGGATTTGCCAAGCGTGCCTTCCTCTTAGCACGTTTCTCCCTTGCGTCCTGAGTTCGAGTGTCTTCAAAGCCCAGGACACCTTTGGTCAAGGCTGTTCTCCAACTGGAGCGCTTGCAGGCCAGTGTTTCCCAATTGTTGGTGTTTATGCTACATTTTTTTAGATTTGCCTGGAGACAGTCTTTAAGCCTCTTTTGTTGACCACCAGCATTACGCTTTCCATTTTTAAGTTTGGAATAGAGTAGTTGCTTTGGAAGACGATCATCAGGCATCCGCACAACATGACCAGTCCAACGAAGTTGATGTTGAAGAATCATTGCTTCAACACAGGTGATCTTTGCTTCTTCCAGTACACTGGTATTAGTACGCCTGTCTTCCCAAGTGATGTGTAAAATTTTTCGGAGACACCGTTGATGGAATAATAATAATAATTATTATTATTATTATTATTATTATTTATTATTTATACCCTGCCCATCTGGCTGTGTTTCCCCAGCCACTCTGGGCAGCTTCCAACAAAATATTAAAATACAGTGGTCTGTTAAACATTAAAAGCTCCCTTTCGAGGAGTTGGAGATGGCTTTTGGGAGTTGTAGTTCCAAGCACCTGCTTAGCAAAGGCTAAGCCATGCTGCCCTGGTGGTGTGTTTGCGATAGTCACGAGGTATCCCTGCCGCTGATTCCTTCTTTTCTCCATCCTCCCTTCCCTCAGGACTACCTGGGCTGCATCATCGACTGTGGACAGCTGCCGCTCAAACCAGAGCAAGTCAGTGCCTTGTTTTGCAACATTGAAGACATCTATGAGTTCAACAGGTGAGTCAGCAGGGATTCCTGGCACCTGGTGAAGGGAGGGAGGGTTCGGCGTCAGCAGAATAAGCTTTCCAAATGACAGGGAATTGCCCCACCACCACCTGCCCCACGACTTGAAGATCAACATCTTCCTATGTTCCTGTGACCCATTCTTACTACCACAGACCTTGCGATGTATACAATTATGTGGGGACCATTGTTGAACTTAGGTTTCAACGGATGCCCTCGGCATGTTTAGAAGGGAAATAGCTCTTGCAAAAGCTCATATGCATTTATGGAGTATGGAAATGAATTTATTTATATAATCAGATTGAAGACATTATGCCTTGTTTGTTGATCTGCCCTTTATAGACAGTGCCCAGAGAATTTTTTATTATTACAGTGGTACCTCGGGTTACATACGCTTCAGGTTACAAACTCCGCTAACCCAGAAATAGTACCTCGGATTAAGAACTTTGCTTCAGGATGAGAACAGAAATCGTGCTCTGGCGGCGCGGCAGCAGCAGCAGGAGGCCCCATTACCTAAAGTGGTGCTTCAGGTTAAGAACAGTTTCAGGTTAAGAACGGACCTCCGGAAAGAATTAAGTACTTAACCCGAGGTACCACTGTATTTCCTGTTCTTTATTGGTTCTCAGATCGATTCCCCCAGTAAGCGATAGCCCTGCCAGGTAGTCCAGATACAGTGGTTCCTTGGTTCTCAAACTCTTGGCCAATAAAGAGCTACAAATTGGACACCTGGTAGCCAGATTTGCTCTGGCAGCTAAGGGGCTTCACCTCAGTTCTGCTGATGCATTGCAATATTAAACTTTTATGCTGTAGACTTTTATAGACTTGTTGTTGTTGTTTAGTCGTTTAGTCGTGTCCGCCTCTTCGTGACCCCCTGGACCAGAGCACGCCAGGCCTCTTGAACTATACGGACCTTTGTTGGCAAGTTGATGTCTCTGCTTTTTAAGACGCTGTCTAGGTTTGTAGGTTTATAGACTTACCGTATTTTTTTGCTCTGTAAGACTCACTTTTTCCCTTCTAAAAAGTAAGGGGAAATGTGTGTGCGTCTTATGGAGTGAATGCAGGCTGCACATCTATCCCAGAAGCCAGAACAGCAAGAGGGATTGCTGCTTTCACTGCGCAGCGATCCCTCTTGCTGTTCTGGCTTCTGAGATTCAGAATTTTTTTTCTTTCTTGTTTTCCTCCTCCAAAAACTAGGTGCGTCTTGTGGTCTGGTGCGTCTTATAGAACGAAAAGTACGGTATGTTGTGTGATTTTAGAGGAATGCCTTGCTTTTTGCCCTCTGTTGTTCATTGTGAAGGCCTTTGGCTATGAGCGATAAAACGAATTGGGCTTCCTGGGTGGTACCAGTAACCAGCGGGTGGATTTATAATGGCATTTATGTCACACAGGTTTCTCCCCGTCGTTTACATGTGACTAATCTTACCAATTAACTGAGCAAAAGTTGCAGACCCAAGTAATCTGCGTGACCTGTAGAGTATAGGAATATGATCTTGCGTGTGATCCTGAAAGAGGAATCTGTATTTATTGTTATGTAAACCCCCCCACACAACAGCCCTGTGATGTTGGACAGGCTGAGAGCCAATGACTGGCGCAAGGTCACCCAGTGAGTTTTCACGACTGAGTTGGGAAATGAGGCCTGGTCTCTCCCAGGTCGTAGTCTGGACTTTCCAAACACCTCATCGCTCCTTATTTTCCTCTCACCAACATTTTAGTGTAACTTGGTTCTGCTCAGAACTGGAATTGTGCACCCTTAGCTCACTCATTTCAGGATCTGACTTGTGTGTGATGAGCCCGCTAACCTGTTCCGGATTTGAAAGGGCCCAGTAGTAAACATGCGCTATCTGGGAGTCATTTTGGACGCCCAGCTGTCCATGGAGGCGCAGGTCCATTCTGTGTCCAGGGTAGCTGTCACCCAGCTCCATCTGGTACGCAGGATGAGACCCTCTCTGCCCGCAGACTGTCTCACCAGAGTGGTGCATGCTCTGGTTATCTCTCTTGGACTATTGCAATGTGCTCTATGTGGGGCTACCTTTGAAGGTGACCCGGAAACTACAACTAATCCAGAACGCGGCAGCCAGACTGGGGACTGGGAGCGGCCGCCGAGACCACATAACACTGGTCCTGAAAGTCCTACATTGGCCCCCAGTACTTTTCCGAGCACAATTCAAGGTGTTGGGTCTGACCTCTAGAGCCATAAACGGCCTCGGTCCAGTATATCTGAAGGAGCGTCTCCACCCCCATCGTTCAGCCTGGACACCGGGGTCCACTTCCTAGGGCCTTCTGGCGGTTCCCTTCCTGCGAGAAGCGAGATTACAGGGAATCAGGCCCAGGGCCTTCTCAGTGGTGGCACCCGCCCTGTGGAGCGCCCTGCCATCAGATGTCAAGGAGATAAAGAACTATACAGCTTTTAGAAGACATCTGAAGGCAGCCCTGTTTAGGGAAGTTTTTATTGTTTGATGATGATGATGATGATGATATAATAATAATAATAATAATAATAATAATAATAATAATAATAAATTTATACCCCGCCCATCTGGCTAGGCTTCCCCAGCCACTCTGGGTGGCTTTCAACAAAATATTAAAATACAGTAATTCATCAAACGTTAAAAGCATCCCTAAACATGATGTTTTATTGTGATTTTAATGTTCCGTTGGGAGCCGCCCAGAGTGGCTGGGAAACCCAGCCAGATTTGGGGGGTGGGGGTTAGAAATAATACATTATTATGATTATTATTAGCACCTCATAGAACACAAGGCAATAAGGTGACAGCGATGAACTCATGCCAGCGTTACAAACCGGTAGCATCTCTCTAGTGGACATTTAGCCACGCAGTTCTCTTTCCCCAGATCTAAGCAAGCCAGGATCTGTGTCTCTCTGTGTGTGTTTGCAGCAATTAACATGGTCCAGAAGGACGGGAGGTTTTCTCAAGGCGGAAATGCTTTTAGCCTTGGAATTTGCTGAGAAGGTAATTTGAGCCGGGCTTGTGGGTGCCAGAGAGCGGTTTGGAAGGAGGGGCGAATGTGTGTTTTGGAGGGGATGGGGAAGATGGAGGTCAGAAAAAGACGGGAGCGTGTGAGTTTATGGAGAAGCGTTGTCCTGGAAGGAAGGATACAGGCGCTCGATCTTCCCTTTTCAAAAGAGGCGTCCCAAAGTTCTTCCACTCCATGGATCTGCCAAATCCCAGCCTTTAGGAGCGGCAGGGAAGTTAAATACTGAGCTTCTGATTGTGATTTTCATCCCCAGTGAATTAGTGGTGTGCCTTCTCTGGTCTGTCTCCAACTGCCCCAGTTTACTCATTCTTTGCTCTTAGAGAGGGTTTAATTTAGGCCAGCTCCACAACCTGTTGTGAGCGCAAAGGATCTGGGACGTGTGAAGTGTGCCTCTGGGCATGCACAAAGCGTGTTTCCGTTGCAACTGGGCCACCTCCACCCCTTGGATTTGGATCAGTCCCAGAACCTGTCGCATGCGCCAACACTTGGAACTGGAGCAAGTAAAGAGCGCCTCTGCGCATGCACAAAGTGTGTTTCTTTCAGGACCAAGTAACTGCTACCAGCTCCCACACATATAGAGGCTTTATCCTTCCAGGTGGGGGAAGATGGAAAAGCTAGAATCTGAGACTTCTTAGTTTAGTCCAGAAGCATCTGTCAGTGCCGCAAACCCATAACTCCTTTTATGTCTCCCTTTCACCAGTCCTTTGGCTGATTAACATTTGATGTCCTTTTAAACATGTTTGTGGTTGAGGGGTTATTGGTTTTGTTCCTGTTCTTCATCTTGTTTTTATTACGTATTTTATGTTCTCATTTGATGATTCTATGTTGCGAACCGCCCTGTGATCTTGGGACGAAGGGTGGTATATTATTATTATTATTATTATTATTATTATTATTATTATTATACTGGCTTGTCTGCCTACATACCCCTCTGAGGGAATAAAAGGAACAAGCTCTTCCAGCTTGCAGAAACTTCCCCCTTGGTCCCCTGTGAGCAGTTTCTGCTCTCCCTAGGAGATTGTCGGCTTGCCACCTTGAATTTGCAGCCAGCCTTGACTCAGTTTTCCTGTGCCTAAAAATGGACGCGTCGCCTTCCTTCTGTTCCCGGAGGATATTTGCAATGCCCTGATTCCCCCATATTGAAAAAAAACCATATTCCCCATCAGGAAAGGAAGGTCTCTGTAAACCCCAGCCGACGATGGAAGTTGAAGACACGGAAACATTGTTCCCTAACAGGGGCTGCTGGCCGGCAGCCGAGTTTTCCCCCTTTCCCCCCTTTCTCACACCATTTCCTTTCCTCTTTCCCCTTCTCTCGCTCCATCTCCTGCTGCTTTTATGGCTTCCCCCAAAAGCTGGTCGCCTGCCAACCTCTCCGTCAACCAACCTGCTTTCCCATCTGGCTGTGTTTAAGAGCTTAAGCGGAGCCCAGTGGGGGGTACGGATGGAAGATGTGGGGGAAATTGGAAGCTCGCATCACGCGGCCCCTGTTAACCCTTTAGAGGAAGGAGCGTCTTCACCCCACCCCAGCCGGTTGCGCCAAGGGCGATCGTGCTGTGACCTTGCCGCTGCCGTGAAAAAAAGGATCGATAATTTCACGTTCACGAAGCCCCCGCCTGTATGCGGACAAAATGCTTCGCCCAGGGGAGGGCAGCGGTGGTCTAAAAGGACAGCCCTGCAAGGTAGTCCAGTACAGTGGTCCCTTGGCTCTCAAACGCCTTGGTTCTCAAACACCTTGGTTCTCAAACAACACTGCAAACTCGGAAGTAAGTGTTCTGGTTTGCGAACTTTTTCTGGAAGCCAAACATGCTCCAATTTGAGTGCCACGCTTCCGATTTGAGTGTTAAGCTGAGGTCAGTTTTATTTTTGCTATTTATTTTGCATTTTTGTGGCTCTTTTTAAAATATATATATATATAGGTAAAGGAAAAGGGACCCCTGACCATTAGGTCCAGTCGTGGCCGACTCTGGGGTTGCAGCGCTCATCTCGCTTTACTGGCCGAGGGAGCCAGCGTACAGCTTCCGGGTCATGTGGCCAGCATGACTAAGCCGCTTCTGGCGAACCAGAGCAGTGCATGGAAATGCCGTTTACCTTCCCGCTGAAGCTGTACCTCTTTATCTACTTGCACTTTGACGTGCTTTCGAACTGCTAGGTTGGCAGGAGCAGGGACCGAGCAACGGGAGCTCACCCCGTTGCGGGGATTGGAACCCCCGACCTTCTGATCGGCAAGCCCTAGGCTCTGTGGTTTAACCCACAATGCCACCCGCGTCCCTTCATATATATATACATCTTTATTAATTTAAAATAAATACATTTATGAAAAACAGACGTATATACAAGTAAAGAAACATACAATCAAACAAATAACAGAAAAATCAAACAAACCACCACACTATAAAATATTATAATTATCATCATATATACTGGTATTGTGGGACGCGGGTGGCGCTGTGGGTTAAACCACAGAGCCTAGGGCTTGCCGATCAGAAGGTTGGCGGTTCGAATCCCCGTGACGGGGTGAGCTCCCGTTATTATTTGTAAGTGATAAAATGAGAAGTTATTTTAAGTGTGATAAAAAAAAGATGGGTAGAAACTATGATATATGTAAACTGCTAAAGATGAAGTAAAATGAAAATCAGATAGGTGGGACTTGGGGAATCCCACTTAACAATGTTTAGAAAAATAAGGATATGACAAGAATTTGTTTGTATTGTTTGCTTTTCTGTTTGTGTTCTTTATTTGTGTTATAAAATGAGTAAAAAAAATTGAAAAGAAAAAAAGAGAGTTTGAGAGCCAAGGTACCACTGTATTGCCACAGCCCAGTATTGTTCGACGGGCAGGGCAGACAGCGTCGTGAGAAGCCTTATTTATGCTTATTTATGTTTTCTCTGTCTTTGAGCAGTGAACTACTGGAAGACATGGAGCGAAACACCAACGCTGAGGCTGTCGCAGAGTGCTTTGTTCAAAGGGTAAGGGTCTCGCTGCTTTCTGCTCACAACTTCTTCACTCTGCGATTCCTTTGGAACGAGCTGACCTCTTAACGGCGTCCCGGCTGCGCTTAGCTGTGTTCGCAAAAGCGTCCAGAAGCTTCAACCGGCCCAGAATGCCATAGCGAGACCAAGCGTTCCAAAAGGACTGGAACAAACATATATTATATTTGAAAGGCAACTGTAAGCAATTTAACATCATTAGCACGGCTCTTTGAAGATCTGTAAGATGAAATTGCTACCTGTTGAGTAATAGAATATTTTAGGTAATGGTATAACAAGGATAGGAAACGAAGCGAAATGTGAAGATGTAAAGTTTAATTTTGTAAACCGTCAGACTGGAGGCATGGAAGCCGTTAGGCTCAGTCGAGCCAAAGAGATAAAATAAGAGGGTACGATGTTACGTAATGTGATTATACGTAAAACCAATAAAAAACATTTCTATAAAAACCCACAGAATGTCGTAGAATCGTAGAATTGTGGCGCTAGGAAGGACACCCAAAGGTCATCTGGATCAACCCCCCCTTGCAACACTCCCTCATTGCGAGACGTGAGGTTACAGGGAACCAGACAGGGCCTTCTGGGTAGTGGCACCCGCCCTGTGGAACACCCTCCCATCAGGAAATAAGCAGCTATCCTGTCTTTAAAAGACATCTGAAGGCAGCCCTGTTTACGGAAGTTTTTAATATTTAATGCTGTACTGTTTTTAAAATTTGATTGGGAGCCGCCCAGAGTGGCTGGGAAAGCTCAGCCAGATGGGCGGGGTATAAAAAATAAATTATTATTATTATTATTATTATTATTATTATTATTGCCGAGGTTGTAAATCCTAGCCAGGTTCTTAATTAGGACTAACTATGGAGAGTAACTGGGATGCGGGTGGCGCTGTGGGTTAAACCACAGAGCCTAGGACTTGCCGATCAGAAGGTCAGCGGTTCGAATCCCCGTGACAAGGTGAGCTCCCGTTGCTCGGTCCCTGCTCCTGCCCACCTAGCAGTCCCAAAGCACGTCAAAGTCCAAGTAGATAAATAGGTACCGCTCCGGCGGGAAGGTAAACGGCGTTTCCATGCGCTGCTCTGGTTTGCCAGAAGCGGCTTAGTCCTGCTGGCCACATGACCCGGAAGCTGTACGCCGGCTCCTTTGGCCAGTAAAGCGAGATGAGCGCCGCAACCCCAGAGTTGTCCACGACTGGACCTAATGGTCAGGGGTCCCTTTACCCTTTACCTTTATGGAGAGTAATGGTTCCCCAATATTTCAAGATCCAGTTAGTTCCTGCAGACTAGTGCTGGTTTTAACCCATAAGACCCTTAAATGCAACCTGGCCAGATGGGCAGGGTATAAATGATAAAATTCTAATTATTAATTAATATTATTAAATGCTCCAGAGCCAGGATAACTGAAGGACCAACTTCTGGCGAGGGCTGCTAACTTAAGACTGCTCCATATGATTGCTTTATTGAGCACGGATCCTGATTTGCTTGCACGGAGCTTACGCAGAGGGACAATGCCTACTCTTTACTGAGCCTTTGTTCTCTTTTTTTCCCCAAGCAGCTGTACGTCTTCCCATCAGCCGATCATTATTCTATACCCTTTAGTTCAATTCCCTGTCACTTTCCTAACAGCAAAAATTCTGCTGTTGTTTTTGAAGTGGATTTAATGCCTGCGAGCACTTTAATCCACTGCGGACTGCCTTGCCAGAGTGGTGCATGCTCTGGTTATCTCCTGCTTGGACTACTGCAATGCACTCTATGTGGGGCTCCCTTTGAAGGTGACCCGGAAACTACAACTAATCCAGAATGCGGCAGCTAGACTGGGGACTGGGAGCGGCCGCGAGACCACATAACACTGCACTTGAAAGACCTACATTGGCTCCCAGTACGTTTCCGAGCACAATTCAAAGTGTTGGTGCTGACCTTGAAAGCCCTAAACGGCCTCGGTCCTGTATACCTGAATACCTGTATACCCCCATCATTCTGTCCTAGACGGCCTCAAAGGCCCAGTATGCCTGAAGGAGCGTCTCCACCCCCATCGTTCTGCCCGGACACTGAGGTCCCGTGCCAAGGGCCTTCTGGCGGTTCCCTCCCTGCAAGAAGCCAAGTTACAGGGAACCAGGCAGAGGGCCTTCTTGGTGGTGGTGCCCACCCTGTGGAATGCCCTCCCATCAGATGTCAAAGAGAAAAATAACTACCAAACTTTTAGAAGACATCTGAAGGCAGCCCTGTTTAGGGAAGCTTTTAATGTTTGATGTATTACAGTATTTTAATATTTTTTTGGAAGCTGCCCAGAGTGGCTGGGGAAGCCCAACCAGATGGGCTGGGTATAAATAATAAATTATTATTATTATTATTATTATTATTATTTGCACGGACCTAAATTTCTAGCATGCGATTCAGCCCCTCTCACGAAATAGCGAGAGTCTGGAGGTAATGTTAAATCAAACAGGGATTAGACAAAATGGAGGAGAAGGGGGGAGTCAAAGTGAGGGCTGTCAAGTAAAAAAAAACCTTTCTGGGGAGTCAACAAATTCACGGCGGTCAAGTCTATAAATGGTTGCTAGCCATGAAGTAACTTTATTGAGATCAATCTGCTTTCTCTGCTTCTTTATATATAGAAATATATTGATTGCACTGTTCTTCCTCTTGATTTTTTTAAATTATTAGTATTGATGGTCCAGCTGGTTTTGACTTCGGCTGGCATTTGACAGTGTCGCAATTGGATTTGTAAACTATTTTCTGGGCTTTGTAGTGGGGAGGTGGTGGGGGGGACTTTTTAAAGTAAATAAAGAGTAGTGTTTTCCAGCCGAGAACTGAGCATTCCAGTCCAGGACAGTCAGAAAATTGCATCTCATATCCTCTGTGGTCTCACACCGTTATAAATGGCTGTTTGGTTTGGCCTTCGCTCTTTACCGTATTTTTCGCTCTATAGGACGCACTGGACCACGAGACGCACCTAGTTTTTAGAGGGGGAAATCAAGAAAAAAATATTATTTCCCCCTCCCCCCAGCCCCAAAGAGCAAAGAAGCCAAGACAGCAAGCACGATCCATCCCGCTCGCTGCCTTGGCTTCTTTAGCCACGCTTCTTTAGCCGCGCTGGAGAGGTTTAGCTCCCGGCTGGAGAGGTTGCGCGGCTATGGCAGAAGCCAAGACAGCCAGCGGGACGGATCCTGCTCCCTGTCTTGGGTTCTTTAGCCTTGCGCAGCCTCCCCCGGCTGGAGAGGCTGCGCGCGGCTATGGCAATTCCCCCACCTCCCGCAAAAGCCCACAGGAGCCGCGCACCCTTTAAGGAGCGAGCGCCTCCTGCGGGCTTTTCTACGAGGAGGGAGAAGGGACTGACGCGGCCAGTCAGTCCCTTCTCCCTCCTGGGGAAAAGCCCGCAAGAGCCGCACGAAGCTTGTGTGCGGCTCTTGGGGGCTTTTCCCGCCTGCCTCCCCCCTGCATTCGCTCCATAGGACGCACAGACTTTTCTCCTTAGTTTTTAAGAGGCTAAAAGTGCGTCCTATGGAGCGAAAAATACAGTAATTCAAGAGCATAGGAGCTGGCTTGTTGAAGCAGTCGGAAGAGAACTTTCTCCCCTGCCCTCAGCCTTCTCCCGAAGCTAAGATTTTGTTCAGGAAAAGGTTGCAGAGTGCATTGGAAAGAGGCAGAGAGTCCCTAAAGCCCAGTGTTAAGTAAGGTTATAGCGCCTCCTACTGGCTGTTGAAAACTAACAAGCCTTATGCACCTCAGTGCACACTAATGTGGTTCAATTAACTCTTGCAGAGTGAAGAGTTTGATATCTACACCTTGTACTGCATGAACTACCCCAAGTAAGTAAGCCTCTCTTTCTTGGCACATGTCTGGGCCTCGTAGCTCATTTCTGCTAAAATCCCCTGGTGGCCCCCAAACCTATTATTCTCAACCCCGACTTCGAGGAAAATCTTTCCCAGATCACTCTCGCTATGCTGAATTTTTTGCTTCTCATTCATCTTATATTCTCCCGCCAGTTTCCATTCCTTATTGACCAGCTTTTTTTCATTAGTATAGACCATATCTACGGGACCGCCTCTCCTGGTCTGCCCCGCAGAGGACCTTAAGGTCCATGAATAACCACAGTTTAGAGGTCCTGGGCCCTAAGGAAGTCAGACTATCCTCCACCAGGGCCAGGGCCTTCTCAGTGGTGGCTCCCACCTGGTGGAATGCTCTGTCGCATGAGACTAGGGCCCTTCAGGATTTAACCTCCTTCCGTCGGGCCTGTAAGACAGAGCTATTCCACCTGGCCTTTAATTTGAATTCAGCCTGATCTTTTATTTCCCTTCTCTTCCCTCCCCTTTTATGAAGATCACCCGCTCTGGGATCCCACAGCTAATTCTCCCCTGGCCTCCTCACTGGCCCAAGTAGGACCCATTCAGCTAGCTAGCCCTGGGGATTATCTAATGCTTATTTCCCCAAATTGATTTCTGAATTTTATTGTTATTCATGTTTTTCGACTGTATTTTATGCTGCTTTTATAATTGTTTTAAATTTGTTGTTAGCTGCCCTGAGCCCGGTTTTTGAACTGGGAAGGGCAGGGTGTAAATAAAAAATTATTATTATTATTATAAGCTCAATAGGCAGGGACACGTGAATTTCTCCTATTCTCACAAATATCACCTTCCAACCTGCTCACGCTCAATGCACGCTCTGCGCCTTTGAAATGTCCAGGAGCAGTTTTTTCTTCCCTGCTGAGGACTAGAAACTTCGGCGAAAGCTGTTGAAAGTCAAGATGACTTCCGCTCAGCAAAATCCTAGATCGGCCCAAGGAAACAGCTTTCCTTTGACGCCCTCTTCCCTTTCCGCCAACTTCTCCCCTTCCTTCCCACCCCCTCAAAGTTGTTTGTTATTATTATTATTATTAAAAGAAAACAATCACACGCCCCATCTCTCGCCCTCCCATAGCTCGGTCTCGGTGTTGCGGGAATGTATGGAGAACGACTCCCTGGCCAAGTTCTTCCGCGAGAGGCAAGCCACTCTGTCGCATTCGCTGCCCCTGGAGACGTACCTCTTGAAGCCCGTCCAACGGATCCTGAAATACCATTTGCTGCTGCAGGTCAGGATTGGGCCCTGGCGGGCTTATCGAGGGTCTGGGCAGACTGGGGAAATGCGAGGAGGAGGAGGAGGAAGGCTGCGGAGGTTTGGAAGTGGCTCTTTAGAGCCACGTTCCCACCAGACATTTAAAGCACTAGGGTGCCATGGCTGCACCCCAAAGAATTCTGGGAGTTGCAGTTTGTTGAGGATGCTGGGCGCTGTTAAGAGATTCCCCCCGCTCCCCTCCCAGGCAGGGCTACGTTTCCCAGAGTTTCCTGCGAAGAGGGATCAACTCTGGGAATCGAAGCTCCTGGAATCTTGTGCTGTGATCGCAGCTTTGCATAAGACAATAAGAAGAAACCTGCTATATTGGGCTAATGGTCTGTTTAGTCCAGCACCTGCTTGTCACAGTGTCAATCCTTCATTGGCATCGCAGTATAAAACTGGAATAATTTAAAAGACAAGGACGAAGATGTCAAGGGTTATAAGATCACACTATGGTCGTGTGCATTTGGATATTCTTCTACACCCTGTCTTTTTCCCGAAAGGATAGTTCATTGGGAACCCTTTCGAGTAAAATTGTGGCTAAAAAGGAAGCAGTAATATCTTTGTCGGGACGCGGGTGTAGGTTAAATCACAGAGCCTAGGACTTGTCAATCAGAAGGTCAGCGGTTCGAATCCCCGCGACGGGGTGAGCTCCCGTTGCTCGGTCCCTGCTCCTGCCAACCTAGCAGTTTGAAAGCACGTCAAAGTGCAAGTAGATAAATAGGTACTGCTACGGCGGGAAGGGAAACGGCGTTTCCGTGCGCTGCTGTGGTTCGCCAGAAGCGGCTTAGTCCTGCTGGCCACATGACCCGGAAGCTGTACGCCAGCTCCCTTGGCCAGTAAAGCGAGATGAGCCCCGCAACCCCAGAGTCGGCCACGACAGGACCTAATGGTCAGGGGTCCCTTTACCTTTAATATCTCTGTCCCGATCTGCCAGGAGAAACCTTATTTGGCTTCTTATCGGGGGTTGTGGGCCGGAGGTCCAACATTTTGCTCAGCATCAGTTAGCGGGGTCTGCTGTGTAAAGGGCAGTCTTGTCGCAGTGTCCAACAAAATGCCTGCGGAGAAACCTGCAAGCAGGATGCGAATACAAGAGCAACGCTGGCCCCTCCTGGGGCTTCCAGCAGCTGGTGTTTAGGCGCACTGCGGTCTCCGACCGTGGAGGCCGATCACAGCCGTTGTGGCTAGTTTCAGAGTCTTTTGCCTAGCGAGGAAGCCCCTCTGTCGTGGACCGGTTGTACTCTGCAAGGGAAGAAGGCTCAGAGCCCAGGGACAACGCGGAGTGGTCAGAGGGAGAAGGCTGGGAAGAGAAGGTGCCGGATGCTGAAGGGGCAACAGGGCGTAGTGAGCAGGGAGATTCTGTGTCAGAGAGGAGCAGAACTGGAAGCAGGAAAAGAGAAAAGCCAAGTGGCCGAAATGAAATCCCCTGCGTTGCAAAAACAGAAAACTCTGAGACTACGCCGGCTCTCCTCCTTTTGTTCTTCCCACTTCACACCTCTCCTGATCCTGGGAGACCAGGGCGGAGGGGAGCTTTTCGCAGCAGGCTCCTTCACTGGCCTGACTCATTTCCGGCACTTTGAACAACCACAAGCAACATGCGGTCAATCATGATCTAACAAAAAATGTGTAACATCCTATTGCTTCACAGCTTTTTTGTTGTTGATCAGCTTTTTACACTGTTAAGGGATTGCTGATCTATTTCTATTTGAAGTACCTGTAGGGACAACTTATTTGCTGGCGAAGAATTGCCATTGAAACAGTTCATTATCTGGAAAAACGATTTACGTTTGGAGCACCTATCGCCAGACTTTCGCAGCATTTTGACTGTTGAAAGACAATTTGCCTTCATTTCAGTTTTCTTTGATGCTGACACGCTTTCTAATTTTGTTCATGGAACATTGATTTGACTCTTATCATTTGTGACTTTATGCAAGGGTTACATACTTTCTGCTTATGAAGTGTGAAACAATATAATGCTATAATTTTTTTGCTAGATCGTTATTAGCCACGTGTTGCTTGTGGTTGTTCAAAGTGGCAGAAATGAGTCAGGCCAGTGAAGGAGCCTGCTGCAAAAAGCTCCCCTCCGCCCTGGTCTCCCAGGACCAGGAGAGGTGTGAAGTGAGAAGAACAAAAGGAGGAGCGTCGGCGTAGTCTCAGATTGCTTGTGAAACTCCCTGCAGAGGAAGGGACACAGCCGGCTGTGGTGAGGTGGGGACCTTCAGTCTCCGCAAGATGTACTGAGAAGAGTCATTAGGCCCGGCACTCGGGTGCAGACCTTGTTTCTTCTAAGAAATGAGGTTTGTGCAATTTATTGGAAGAAGCGGACCATTTGGATCCCTTCCAGTCGGGATTCAGGCCTCATCATGGGACTGAAACTGCCTTGGTCGCGCTGGTTGATGATCTCCGGCAGGCTAGGGACAAAGGTGATAGCTGCTTCCTAGTTCTGCTGGATCTCTCAGTGGCTTTTGACACCATCGACCATAACATCCTTCTGGACGGTCGTAATGAATGCGGCAGCTAGACTGGGGACTGGGAGCGGCCGCCGAGACCACATAACACCGGTCTTGAAAGACCTACACTGGCTCCCAGTGCGTTTCCGAGCACAATTCAAAGTGTTGGTGCTGACCTTGAAAGCCCTAAACGGCCTCGGGTCCTGTATACCTGTATACCTGAATACCTGTATACCCCCATCGTTCAGCCCGGACACTGAGGTCCAGTGCCAAGGGCCTTCTGGCGGTTCCCTCGCTGTGAGAAGCCAAGTTACAGGGAACCAGGCAGAGGGCCTTCTCAGTAGTGGCACCCACCCTGTGGAACGCCCTCCCACCAAATGTCAAAGAGAAAAATAATTACCAAACTTTTAGAAGACATCTAAAGGCAGCCCTGTTTAGGGAAGCTTTTAATGTTTGGCAGACTATTGTATTTTAATATTTTGTTGGAAGCCGCCCAGAGTGGCTGGGGAAACCCAGCCAGATGGGCGGGGTGTAAATAATAAATTATTATTATAAATTATTATTATTGCCGGCTCACTCCTGACCATCTCCATCAAGCAACGCAGACTTTGCCTTCCCTTCCCAGGAACTGGCAAAGCATTATGACAAGAGCAGTCCCGGCTACGACGCCGTGGAAGAGGCGAGCATCACCATGACGGCCGTGGCTTGGTACATCAACGACATGAAGCGCAAGCAGGAACACGCCACCCGGCTGCAGGTATTAAAAAGGGGGAAACTCAAGAGGTGATCGTGCCGAGGGCACACCAGAATTATTTGAGAACTAAAGGTCCTCAAGAGGGGACTGGCCAGATGTTTGCTTCTCTGGGTGCTATGGCAGAGAAGATCCTTCACCAGGTACCGTATTTTTTGCTCTATAAGACTCACTTTTTCCCTCCTAAAAAGTAAGGAGAAATGTGTGTGCGTCTTATGGAGCGAATGCAGGCTGCGCAGCTATCCCAGAAGCCAGAACAGCAAGAGGGATTGCTGCTTTCACTGCGCAGCGATCCCTCTTGCTGTTCTAGCTTCTGAGATTTAGAATATTTTTTTTCTTGTTTTCCTCCTCCAAAAACTAGGTGCGTCTTGTGGTCTGGTGCGTCTTATAGAGCGAAAAATACGGTACTTGCCTCCGTTACAGCAACCTGAACATGTCGGAGGAAATAATCCATTATACATTGCTGAAAATGCATATGACACATCGCATTATAGGAAAGTTTTTAATGTTTGATGTTTTATTATGTTTTGATATACAGTCGTACCTCTGCTTACGTATCCCTCTGGACACGTAAACTTCGGGTTGCGAACGTGGCAAACCCGGCAGTGTACGCTTCCGGGTTTCGCCATGTGCGGTGCACAGAAGGGCGCCTCCAGTTAAAGTTTTCGGGATCAGCCGGGCCTCTGGAACGGATCCCGTTCATAACTGGAGGTACCAGTGTATGCTGTAAGCCACCCAGAGTGGCTGGGGAAACCCAGCCAGTTGGGTATAAATAATAAAATTAATTATTATTATTATGATTATTATTATTATTATCAAATCAGACCAGTCCCCTTCCCCTTGGAGCTTATGAAACCCCCCAGACTATCTACCGATTCAGTATTTGTTTGCAGGAACTTTTGCACCACGATTAGACTTTGTCCCTCCCTTAATTGATCATTTGGTCTGATTCATTTGCGCAGACAATGAGCAATCATCCTGATTTGCTTATGAGCTCTTGACGCATCTTGCCATTGAGCATTCATTGACACACACACACACACGCCCTACTTTGCAACGCATTTCCCTATTCCTTTTCAATTCATAATAATAATAATAATAATAATAATAATAATAATAATTTTATTTGTATGCTGCCCTCCCTGGCCAGAGCCGGGCTCAGAGCGGCTAACATCATATAAATAATACAATATGCATAAAAATAAGCAATCAATCGATTAAAATGTGCCCCAAAATTAATTCAGATAAATTAAAAATAAAGTTGAAACTGAACAAATGATAATCCTCAGGTTAAAATTGAAAGCAGTTAATACTTGCCAGGAGCAACTGTTTCCACTGATATTATAAGGACCTGTGTGCAGGCTAGAAGAAGAAGAAGAGAAGAAGAGTTTGGATTTGATATCCCGCTTTACCACTCTCCTTCAGGAGTCTCAAAGCAGCTAGCAATCTCCTTTTCCCTTCCTGCCCCACAAGAAACACTCTGTGAGGTGAGTGGGGCTGAGAGACTTCAGAGAAGTGTGACTGGCCCAAGGTCACCCAGCAGCTGCATGTGGAGGAGCGGAGACGCGAACCCGGTTCCCCAGATTAGGAGACTACTGCTCTTAACCACTATACCACACTGGCCTCTTTAATGCTTGTTCTTATACAGAAATAAAAGAATCAGACTGAACCCCGACCAAAGGCCTGGTGGAACAGCTCCGTCTTGCAGGCCCTGTGGAAGGATGTCAAATCCAGCAGGGCCCTGGTCTCTTGTGACAGAGCGTTCCACCAGCCCGGGGCCATGACTGAAAAGGCCCTGGCTCTGGTCGAGGCCAGTCTAATCTTCCTGGGGCCCAGAATCTTCAGGGTGTTATTATTTGCAGACCGTAAGGCATTGCTTTTTGAATGTGTGCTAGGGCACCAGAGCGTTTTAAACCCGCTTTAATTTTGCAAGCCCAAAGTCCCAGAATTCACCTGAAACCCTCCTGCAAAATAGAGGCATCCAATGTCGCGCAGTACTGCCTTCAACCAGTAGGCAAACTCAAAACTGCCTCGATTTCTAAACAGGCCATACTCTTAAGAGGTCCTGCTCTGAGGGCCTTCTGGCGGTTCCCTCGCTGTGAGAAGCCAAGTTACAGGGAACCAGGCAGAGCGCCTTCTCGGTAGTGGCACCCGCCTTGTGGAACGCCCTCCCACCAGATGTCAAAGAGAACAACAACTACCAGACTTTTAGAAGACATCTGAAGGCAGCCCTGTTTAGGGAAGTGTTATGTACTGAAGTTCTCACCCTGGGCCAGCAGGGGGATACTGTAGATAGTTTTCACTCAGGTCCACATATGCAAATAAGGGATCGAAAGTGACGTTCAGTGATTGGATAGTTACAGAAAGTGGCTACTGTTGCGTTGTAGTGGAGCTCTATATAAGCAGGCTGACTGAACCCTTCAGTTCAGTTCTGTTCTGGCCTGTGAATAAACAAGAGCTGTTTGAAGAATCGCTGTGTCGTCTGACATGTTCACCCACAACTTAACAGGAAGCTTTTTAATGTTTAATAGGTCATTGTATTTTAGTGTTCTGTTGGAAGCCGCCCAGAGTGGCTAGGGAAGCCCAGCCAGATGGGTGGGGTATAAATAATAAATTATTGTTATTATTATTAAGTTGCAGCTAGTAACTCTTTCCTCTTTGGGAGCTGAGCTCTGTCTCCTTGTTTTCCCTCCCTCCCCATTCCTCTGTCCTTTTCCTAGGAGATCCAGAGGCAGCTGGTTGGCTGGACAGGCCCAGAGTTGGGGGCTTTTGGGGAGCTGGTCCTGGAGGGGCAGTTCCGGGTGCCGCGGGCACGCAAGGAGAGGGTCTTCTTCCTCCTCAGCAAGGTGATCCTGATCGCCAAGCGCCATGGAGAAGCCTTCGTCTACAAGAGCCACATCTTTGTAAGAGGGGCTGGGGGAGGGTGTGGGGAGGAAGAATGAGGGGCCCAGATTTTGGGGGCATGTAGAGTCACAGAAGGGGGACGTGGGTGGCGCTCAGGGTTAAACCACAGAGCCTCTTGGGCTTGCCGATCGGAAGGTCGGCGGTTCGAATCCCGCGACGGGGTGAGCTCCCGTTGCTCGGTCCCTGCTCCTGCCAACCTAGCAGTTCGAAAGCACGTCAAAGTGCAAGTAGATAAGTAGGTACCGCTCCGGCGGGAAGGTAAACGGCATTTCCGTGCGCTGCTCTGGTTCGCCAGAAGCGGCTTAGTCCTGCTGGCCACATGACCCAGAAGCTGTATGCCGGCTCCCTCGGCCAGTAAAGCGAGATGAGTGCCGCAACCCCAGAGTCGGCCATGACTGGACCTAATGGTCAGGGGTCCCTTTACCCTTTACCACTTTAAGCTACTGAAGGCCCTTTCTATGTCCAGTTGTCCTATGTCCCTGTTTTTTGTGTTGAATATACAGTTATACTTCAGGTTAAAAATGCTTCGGATTAAATCTTTTCAGGTTGCGTCCTGTGGTGACCCAGAAGTACCGGATAGGGTTACTTCTGGGTTTCACCGCTCACGCAGACGCTCAAAATGATGTCACAAGCATTTGCAGAAGCGGTGAATTGTGACCCACGCAGACGCGGGTTGCATTCTGCTCAGGTTGCAAACGGGGCTCCGGAACGGATCCCGTTCGCAACCAGAGGTACCACTGTATGCTATATGGTAATTGATGGACCTAATCAGTATCTCAAGACATTTGCATATGTTGCCCTGCAACCAGTCCATGCAGATGTCACATAGAGGAGGGAGAAAGGTTGTTTTCTGCTGCTCCAGAGAAGCGGACACGGAGCAATGGATCCAAACTACAAGAAAGAAGATTCCACCTAAACATTAGGAAGAACTTCCTGACAGTAAGAGCTGTTCGACAGTGGAATTTGCTGCCAAGGAGTGTGGTGGAGTCTCCTTTCTTGGAGGTCTTTAAGCAGAGGCTTGACAACCATATGTCAGGAGTGCTCTGATGGTGTTTCCTGCTTGGCAGGGGGTTGGACTCGATGGCCCTTGTGGTCTCTTCCAACTCTAGGATTCTATGATTCTATTCTATGATTCACAATGTCGGCACCCCATATATAGAAAGGAGCAAATTGGTGATATTTTAGGGAGCAGGCTAGCGGGTGGGGCCCATGACTTACATCATAGGAGCCTATACAACACAAAACACGGCTGCTGTAGGTAGGTTTTATTTTATTTGTTTTTTATCTTATATTTTGGAAATGTACATCCAGGGTTTTTTTCCTTTAATTTTTTGGGGGCCCCCAAGGGAGTGGGGCCCTGAGCTAGAGCTTGTTTAGCTTATACGTAAATCAGGCACTGTTTATACCCCTCCATGCTTCAGGCAGAGTCTCTGCCTGTTGATTCATTTTTAATCTCAGAGCTCAGTCCTGGAAGAGCATTTGTTCCGAAGGCAGCGAGGGCACTCCCAAGAGCCTCCTTGCTGCTCTACAAATGTCACTGCTGTCTTCACGCCAAACGGTTGGACGAGATGTCACCGTTTCCATTCCATTTTTCTTCTTTTCCTGCCTCTGACTCTACAGTGCTGCAACCTGGCCCTGCAGGAGAACACAAAGGACCCCATGAGCTTCAAAATCTCCGACCTCTCCATCCCCAAACAGCAGCACGTGGTACAGGTGAGCTCGGGGGGGGGGGTTCAAAGTCGAGCTGAGCTGGAAGGCAAAATGAAAGCACAAAAAATGCCCCCAAACATTGCGCAGGGCTTTGTGGATTTCAAAAGTGTGTTAGTGCCGCACACCAGGTGCATCCTTTTATACACCTGAGATACCCGGCTGTGGAAGATGCACCCAAAATATCAATAACAAAGAAACCAGAGACATATCTTCTTGGATTGATAGATGACGAGATACCACGGGGGAAAGAAAATAATTTTCCTATATGCAAGTACAGCTGCTAGACTAGTGATTGCCGCTAGGTGGAAGTCACAAACGATACCCACAAAGGAGGAATGGATTTGTAAACCAAATGAATATTTAATTTTGGCAAAATTAACTGCTATAATAAGAAATCAGTTGAATCAAAAATTTAAAAAGGAGTGGAAATGTTTTGATGAGCATATGGCAAAATATTGCTCAGAAAAAGATACGCTAATATGCCTAGATTAAAATGTGAAGTACTGGGTGGAAGGAAAATTAGTAAGGAAAGAGAATAAGGATATCTAGATGACTTGAGAAGACTGTAGAATGCAAAAATTAGTGTAAGTTGTATAATGTGGAGGAAATCGAGTAGGGGCAGAGGGAGAAAATAATAATATGATGGATTGAGGAAATATAAATGTAAATGTATGGGGAGGAAATGGTGTTGGCTTTGGTACATTTGTATTGTAATGTAATATGTGAAAACCAATACATAGATAGATATAGATTGATAGATAGATAGATGATAGATAGATAGATAGATATAGATAGATAAGAAAAGAAAAGAATGGAAAGGAAAGGAAAGGAAAATGCACCCAAATGCTGGCCTTTGCTACCGCAGGTGAGGAACCAGGAAGAAAAACGTCTGTGGATCCATTATCTGAAGCGGCTAATCGTGGAGAATCATCCAGCATCCATCCCTCAGAAGGTAACTGGGGTCCAGGAGTAGTGTTACCTGCTGGTGGGAGTTAATCTGGAATCCTGTTAGACCTTGTGGAGGTACCTGTATGGCTCAGGGAGAGAGAAAGAGAAGTTAGAGGTCCCTCCAGCCATCTGTTTCATTGTGCATTCACAATATTTATTTGTTTATAAAAATATTTACATGCCGCTGTATCATCAAAATATATCACTCCCAGTCACCAGTCTAGCTGCCACATTCTGGATTAATTGTAGTTTCTGGGTCACCTTCAAAGGAAGACCCATATAGAGCGCATTGCAGTAGTCCAAGCGAGAGATAACCAGAGCATGTACCACTCTGGCCAGACAGTCTGCGGGCAGGGAGGGTCTCATCCTGCGTTCCAGATGGAGCTGGGAGACAGCTGCCCTGGACACAGAATTAACCTGTGCCTCCATGGACAGCTGTGAGTCCAAAATGACTCCCAGGCTGAGCACCTGGTCCTTCAGGGGCACAGTTGCCCCATTCAGGACCAGGGAGTCTCCCACACCAGCCCATATTCCTGCCCATATTAAAAGCTTCCCTAAACAGGGCTGCCTTCAGATGTCTTCTAAAAGTCAGATAGTTCTTTATTTCCTTGACAACTGATGGGAGGGTGTTCCACAGGGTGGGTGCCACCACCGAGAAGGCCCTCTGCCTGGTTCCCTGTAACTTGGCTTCTCGCAGGGAGGGAACCGCCAAAAGGCCCTCGAAGGAGGACCTCAGTGTCCAGCAGAACAATGGGGGTGGAGATGCTCCTTCAGGTATACTGGACCGAGGCCGTTTAGGGCTTTCAAGGTCAGCACCAATGCAGATCTCTCAGGACTGGTATTATGTGGTCTCGGCGGCTGCTCCCAGTCTAGCTGCCACATTCTGGATTAGTTGTAGTTTCCCCGTCACCTTCAAAGGTAGCCCCACGTAGAGCGCATTGCAGGAGTCCAAGCAGGAGATAACCAGAGCATGCACCACTCTGGAGAGACAGTCTGCGGGCAGGGAGGGTCTCATCCTGTGTACCAGATGGTAGACGGCTGGACGAACTGCATGGCTCAGAATAAGGCAGTGTCCTCTGTTTTGTGTCACCCCAGGAATGGGTTGTTTGTGGGTGGATTGCATTCCCATCCCACCTTTTTCTCCCTGGAGCTTCAGGTGGAGTGCACGGCTCTCCCCCTCCTCATTTTATTCCCACAACAACCCAGCGAGGTACGTGAGGCTGAGAGGCAGCGACTGGCCCAAGGTGTCATGGTCCGGTCTACGGGCAATGGAAGTACTGGCTGAGGACGTCGGGACCGGGGGCAAGATGGCGGGGTGGGAGCAGGAACGAGAGTCCAGAAGCCAGGGGTCAGGAAGCCAGGGGTCCGAGGGTCGAGAAGCAGGGAGTCACGAAGTCACGGGTCCGAGGGTCGAGAAGCAAGGAGTCACGAAGTCGAGGGTCTGAGGGACGAGAAGCAGGGAGCCAAGGTCCGAGGATCAGGAAGCAAGAAGCCAAACGCAGCAAGGCAGGAAACGTGTTGCTGTGGCAAAGAGCCGAAGGGAAATGCTGACCTTATATCCCTTCCCGGCTCTTGCCACCAGATGCAGTGAGTTACCAAGCGGCCTCACCTGTGTGACCGTGCCTTGCCTCTCCAGAACAAACTTAGGAAGGCCCAGTCCTGCGAAGCCCTTCTGGTCCCAGGGCCTGGCTCCTGCGTGCACTCCTGACACAAGGTCACCCAGTGAGCTTCATGGCCGAGTACGGGGATTTGAACCCTGGTCTCCTGGGCCCAACTTTCTGACCTCTACACCCTGCTGTCTCTTGCACTTGGCCGCATCTGATTCTTCCTTCCCTTTTGCTCTTTGTTGCAGGCTAAGCAAGTCCTGTTAGAGAACAGCTTCCAGGGTAAGTGCCTCAGTCTCTTTTCCTCCTCCTTCCCAAACTCTTGAGCAGGCATCCCCAAACTCCAGTCCTCCAGCTGTTTGGGGACTACAATTCCCATCACCCCGACCATGGGTCCTGTTAGGTAGGGATGATGGGAGTTGTAGTCCCAAAACATCTGGAGGGCTGAGTTTGGGGATGCCTGCTCTTGAGGTTTCTCATTTCCATAGGATTTTAGCTCTGGACTCTTCTGCATAAACCCAAGACACCTGTCTCCTTGTTGTGTAACAATATTTACAGAGTGATATCTTGGTTCTCAAACTTAATCCGTTCCGCGAGTCCGTTCCAAAACCAAAGCGTTCCAAAAACCAAGGCGTGCTTTCCCAAAGAAACGGATTAATCCGTTCCAGACTTTTAAAAACAACCCCTGAAACAGCCATTTAACATGAATTTTACTATCTAACGAGACCAGTGACCCATAAAATGAAAGCAATAATCAGTGTACTGTACTATAAAATAAATAAGACAGTACTGTAGATAATAAAAATAAAAATAATTATTTTTTCTTGCCTGAACTGATGATAGTCATTGTTTAGATGGATATTTTTCTTAATCATTTCCGCAGTCACACAATCAATCAATCAATCAATCAATCAGTAGCTGAACTGGGTTCCACACAGCCACAAAAACAAGCAAACCGAAAAAGCCTCAAAGACAAAACGTCAAAATAAATAGCAAAAACAAAAGCGCCAAACTTAATCCATTCCGGAAGTCCGTTTGACTTCTGAAATGTTTGGAAACCAAGGGGCGGCATCCGATTGTTGCAGGCGCCCCGGGAACAATAGCTGAAAAACATTCAAAAACCGGAGCACTTACTTCTGGGCTTTCGGCATTTGAGAACCAAGGTATTTGCATTCTTTATTTTCATTTGCTTCAGGCTCCCCAGAGGTCTTCTCCAGCCCAGGGGCCTCCAAGAAGACCTCACCTTCGACGCGGGTTGATGAGTCCGTGGCGTGCAGCCGAAACCGGTGGCAATCGGGTGAGGAAGTCATGAAATCACAGAATTGTCGAGTCGGAAGATACCCAGGGGTCATCTAGTCCAGCCCCCTTCGATGCAGATGAAGGAGGGATGAGAAGGGATTTGGTGCAGTTCACATTTAAGGGGAGAACTTAAATGATGATCTCTCCCAGCAGCTTCATATAGCTATTGAAAAGCATGGGGGCGAGGACAGAAGCCGGAGGCATCCCACAGGTGAGAGCCCAGGGGTCTGAACACTCATTCCCCCCCCACCACTTTCTGAACACGGCCCAGGAGGAAGGAGCGGAACCACTGTATGACAGTGCCCCCAGCTCCCAGCCCCTCAAGACGCTCCAGAAGGATGTTATTGCATCATAATGTCTCTTGGTGTGTCGTGCAAACCTGCTCGTCTGAAAAAGGCTTTTTATAGGGCGCTGGGGATGAGTTTATGTGGCCTAACGGGTAATGGCCTCCCCTCCAAAAAATTAGGGAACCACTGATTTAGTTGTTGTTGTTTAGTTGTTTAGTTGTGTCCGATTCTTCGTGACCCCCTGGACCAGAGCACGCCAGGCCCTCCTGTCTTCCACTGCCTCCCGCAGTTTGGTCAAACTCATGCTGGTAGCTTCGAGAACACTGTCCCACCATCTCGTCCTCTGTCGTCCCCTTCTCCTTGTGCCCTCCATCTTTCCCAACATCAGAAGAAGAGTTTGGATTTGATATCCCGCCTTTCACTCCCCTTCAGGAGTCTCAAAGCGGCTAACATTCTCCTTTCCCTTCCTCCCCCACAGCAAACACTCTGTGAGGTGAGTGGGGCTGAGAGACTTCAGAGAAGTGTGACTAGCCCAAGGTCACCCAGCAGCTGCAGGTGGAGGAGTGGGGAATCGAACCCAGTTCACCAGATTAGGAGACTACCGCTCTTAACCACTACACCACACTGGCTCCCACACTCTCCCAGGGTCTTTTCCAGGGAGTCTTCTCTTCTCCTGAGGTGGCCAAAGTCTTGGAGCCTCAGCTTCAGGATCTGTCCTTCCAATGAGCACTCAGGGCTGATTTCCTTCAGAGTGGAGAGGTTTGATCTCCTTGCAGTCCATGGGACTCTCAAGAGTCTCCTCCAGCTCCATAATTCAAAAGCATCCATTCTTCGGCGATCAGCCTTGCCGTGGCGAAGGGGCTTGAATAACTCAGAGAAACTATGAGCTATGCCGTGCAGGGCCACCCAAGATGGACAGGTCATAGTGGAGAGTTTTGACCAAACGTGATCTACCTGGAGCCGGAACCGGCAAGCCACTCCAGTATCCCTGCCAAGAAAACTCCATGGACAAATACTGATTTAGTAGACAGAGTTAAAGAGCAGCGTCTGAGACCATGTGCCTTTGCTACGGAGACCAGGCAAGCTTCAGTAGGCGAGTGAATTTTGGACATGACGAAACTTTCATTTCCTTTTTCCCCAGACCCACCGGAGTTCATGTATAGCCCCGAACGAGCGCGGCAGAGCTGCCCCATCTTGCAGCTGGAGAAGAGCGGTTCTTACCGCCGCGGCCGCAGGCAGTCTGGTGAGGAAAAGTACACAGGTCTCTCTCTTTCCGGAGAATTTCCCATTTCTGTGCAAGCTGGGATGGAGGTTTTGCAAAAGGCGCCCTGCATTCTCCAGAGCGGCACTAGGGGGCAGTGCGCTGCAAGAAAAGCTGTGCTCTTAACAAGCAGCGCAAAACGATAAATAAAGCTAAGCAGGGTCCAGTCTGGTTTCAGATTGGATGATGAACCGTGTGTTTCGATCCCTGCATGGCAGGGGGTTGGACTAGATGACCCTCAGGCAGGGTGGATAAAAATTAATTTTTTAAAAAAATTAAAATATTATTTAAAAAAAAATTGATTTTTTTATTTAAATCGGATTTTTTAAAATTAAAATCAGATTTTTAAAAATTTAAATCAGATTTTTAAAATACAATGCATTCGGAGGAAAAATCTTTCTAAAGATGGGTTTCTATTTAAGTTGCGTTATAGTCCAAAGGCTATTCGTCAGGAAATCAGAATTTGTTTTAAGTTTTTCATGTGTGCTAAAAAACTAAGTTTTTTTTTAAAAAAAAAACAAACATTTAACCACATCAGTTAACAAATATGCATACATATGCTATTGCTTTAGTTAAATAAATTGTTATTAAGGAAATGATTATTTTTCTCCTTCCAATAAAGCACAGCAGAAAAGTTAACTTATTAAACTTCACCATAATTTCGTAATTATCTGTCTATGGATTTCTAATGGTATAACCAAATCGGTAATTTTTGATATAACTGTAAAAACTACAGTGGTGCCTCGCAAGACGAAAATAATTCGTTCCGCGAGTCTTTTCGTCTTGCGATGTTTTTCGTCTTGCGAAGCACAGTCCATCGCACAGTCCGTCGCAACAAGCGGCTTTAAGAAAAAAGCGCAAGACGTTTTCGTCTTGCGAAGCAAGCCCATAGGGAAATTTGTCTAGCGAAGCAACGCAAAACCGAAAAACCCTTTCGTCTAGCGAGTTTTTCGTCTTGCGAGGCATTCGTCTTGCGGGGCACCACTGTACTCTGAAAATTTATGATTCCAAAGATGAAACCTTCCTCTGGTTGGAAATACTAAGATTATACCAGCAAGAATGATTCTTTCTGTAAAAAATAAAATAAAAATTGATTTAAATCAAGTCTTACTGACTAGTGATTTAAACTGTGGTTTAAATCAATTTGATTTAAATCCAATCCCCTTCCAGCCCTATGATTCTGTGATTTCCGTTTCTATAAGAAAGTTTCTCTTACTGATCTTTAACTGGTGGGTCTGGGCTCTAGCTACTGGGAGCACCACCACCAGGCAGGTTAACTAGGAAACTTTGGGGTTTTTTCCTTTTTTTGGTTGGAACAGACTAGCACGGCTGCCCCTCTGGAATTGATCCTGCCCATTTTTCATTTTAAACAAAATTCAGCTGTTGTGCCGCTGACTCTGATGGTTCCTTCTCTTTTTTCTTCCTCCTCCCTCCTCCTCTTCCTTTCCTTTGTTTGCTGCTGCGGACGTTCTCAGACGTGGCCAAGATCAAGGTAGGTGGTTCTCTGCCACGCATGCCTCCTCACTCTGCATCTCTGTTGCACTCAAATTCGGGTTTCCCCAAAGAGGGGTCCGGTTGGCCGCTGCGAGAACCGGGCGCTGGACTAGATGGGATGTTGGGCTGACTGAGGACACTTTCCTTAGGCTCCCAAAATGTGAAATGTGACTTAACTGCGTGTGCTTGCATTCCTCCTCCCGCCCGTCTTGTCAAAATGGGCAACCTCTTTGGGGCAGGGACCACTCTGTTTTTGCTGCCGTTACGCCTCGCGTTGCAGTACAGCGACTCTGCAGCTTAATAATAATGATAATGATAATAATAATTTTTATTTATATCCCGCCCTCCTCAGCCAGGGCGGCTAACATCAATAAAATTTCAGTAAAAATATAAGTGGGGGGGGGGGAGAGAAAAAGAAAAAAACCAATTTAAAATACAGGTTAAAATGCAATTTAAAATGCAGCCTCATTTTAAAAGTCAAAACCATAAGGGGAGGGAAACATAAGGGTCAGAGTGAGTCCAGCCCAAAGGCCAGGCGGAACAGCTCCGTCTTGCAGGCCCTGCGGGAAGATGTCAAGTCCTGCAGGGCCCTGGTCTCTATATATATTGCTTGTTTTATGTTACTATGGCCGTTGGCTAATGAGAATAAAAGGTAAAGGTAAAGGGACCCCTGACCATTAGGTCCAGTTGTGGATGACTCTGGGGTTGTGGCACTCATCCCGCTTTACTGGCCGAGGGAGCCGGCGTACAGCTTCTGGGTCATGTGGCCAGCATGACTAAGCCGCTTCTGAAGAACCATAGCAGTGCACGGAAATGCCGTTTACCTTCCTACCGGAGTGGTACCTATTTATCTACTTGCACTTTGACGTGCTTTCGAACTGCTAGGTTGGCAGGAGCAGGGACCAAACAATGGGAGCTCACCCCGTCGCGGGGATTCGAACCGCCGACCTTCTGATCGGCAAGCCCTAGGCTCTGTGGTTTAACCCACATCGCCCTTACATGTTCCCTAAATGCTCGCCACGGACCAACTGCATGTTCCCCTCTGCTGCCCCCTGCTTCCCTCCCGCTGCCCCTCTGCCAAAGTGTGTAGCCTCCTTGGGGCAGAGACCTCTTTTTTTGGCTGCCTTGCATTATGTTGACGCTGCGTAGCTCAGCCGTAACGCCGCATTCCCGTTCTGCAGCACGCTGACAGCGACGGAGAGCTCTTTCCGGCCGCCGAGCCCCTCGGGCTGCCCGGCCCCCCCTGCCCGGTGACGTCCGTCGGGACGGAGATGGACGCCGAGGAGTCGGACCAGGACGAAGGGGAGGCGGAGTTCTCTCTGGCCGGAGAGCCGGTCCCCGGAAATTTGTCCATTACGGAGGAAATCCTGGAACTGCTCAGCCAACGGGGCTTGGATGGCGAGTCGGGAAAAGACGGGCCAATTTTGGGAGAAGAGAGGGCGGAGGTGAGTGGCATGGGGTTCAGGGGGGAAAGCGGGTTGAGCTAGATGACCTTGGGGTACCTTCTGACTCTACAGCTCTGTGGTTCCAATAGGAGTTGGGGATTCTGTGCAAAGCTAGGGGGGAGATGCATAATTATTGATTATTAAGACATCTGGAGGCAGCCCTATTTAGGGAAGTTTTTTTTTAAAAAAAATATTTTCAATGCAAAATTACAACAAACATTACAAAGATCGAATCCAAAATAAAACAGTAGAAACAAGAAAAAAAAACACGAGAGAAAAAAGAACACAAAAGACAAAAAAACAAAAACACACATCTACAAATAAAACCATATCATCGTTCTAGTCTAATCATTACCAATACATATACACATATTGACTTAGTTCTTTTGTTCTAAGACCTCAAAATTTTTACTCTTTCTAAATTGTTGTGTCTAATGTAGATTGCCTCTATCTTTATAATTTTTACACCATTTTTTCTCTTTCTTTAACCCTGCAAAACTTCATTCATTACATACCGTTATGCTTACTTAGGGAAGTTTTTAATGTTTAATGCTGTGTTGTGTTTTAAATATTTGACTGGCAGCCGCCAGAAGGCCCTCAGTGCTGGACCTCAGCGTCCGGGCAGAACAGACATCCAGTCTTGCAAATGTAAAAGCACGTCTGTATTTTGGGATAAGAAGTTTGTGCAGAAACAGGGCCAGAGAATCAAAATGGAGAGGCGTAAAATGAACGTACCAAGGGCAGAATTTCCTTACAGTGGCCGGGTTGTTCTGGTGCTCGATATCTTTTAGACGTTGACCAATAAGACTGTTTGCTTTAGTGGGGCCCATAGTGAGTAGGTGTTGTGGAGACAGGCCACAAGAGTGAAGTTTTTGATAGACGGTTTTAAGCCAGGCGCTTTTATGGGACTCTTGAAGTACTAGGGATGGTAAACCAGTGGGATTTGAGTTTCGGCGGAGCCTGAAGTTAAGAGTTCTTTGCTAAGTCCGTACTTCTACTGAAGGGAGACTTGCCTCCAGTCTCAAGGATGCGTTTGGGATGATAACAGCTTGTGGGGATCGTGGTCTCACCCTCGTTTGCCTCGGGTGTTTGGAGTGGCAGGGAGTTCCCCAGGCCGTAATCACCATCCACCTTGTTGTTCTCTTGCAGGATCCGCTCCTGAGAAGCGATCCGTTGGAGGAGCTGGAGGAGAAGGCAGAAGAGGAGGCGGTGGAAGAGCGCGGATTGGAGGGGGAAGAGGCCCCCCAGAGAGACCCGGTCCAGGAACAGCCGCCTCCGATGCCTCGTCATCCCTTCACCTGTGACTCCTCCGAGGAAGAGGAGCAACGGGAGGAGTCCGCCAGTCCGTCTCCTCTCCACGTTCTGGAGAACTTGGAGGACACCTGCAGGAAGCCAGGAGAGGGTGGCGGTGCTGGCTGCGTGGGGCAGGCGGTGGCGGGTGCGAGAAGCCCGCCCCCTGAGGATCCCGGCCAATCGAAGCAGCCGGCGCCGTACGCCCAAAGCTCCCTGCAGGCAGAGGGTGGAGCCAAGCATGACTCCACCTTGACGAAGGACGACTGGGTGCTGATTGAGAAAATCAAGAGCTACTACGAAGGGACGGAGGCTATGAACAAGGTGCCGGGTTTGAGTAAGATGGAGGGCGCCCTTCCGGTGCCCGCCGGCGTGGTGCGCGAGTCCGTCCTTCGCTTCAACAGCATCCTGCGGCAGAACGATGCCCGGGACGCGGAAGTGGGCGGGTGCAAGCTGGGCAAGCTCCGCCCACAACCGGGCGCCGGCGGCCACGGGAGTCCCGGCAGGAGCAGGAGCCAATCGTGTAACGCCCAGCCGCCCTTCTGCCAATGGGATTCCGGCGAGGGGCGGAGCCACCTGCCCGCAAGCCCCGGACATTCCAAGAGGGGGAGGAGCCGCTCCGACGGCGGCCAATCGCCAGGCGGCTCTGAAGATTGCGCCGGCGGCGAGGCCCAATCACCTCAGGCCTGCTGTGAGGATTCTGAGAAGGGGCGGAGTCTATCTGGGAGAACCCATAACGTTTCTGGAAGTGGGTGTGGCTTGGAGGAGGAGGAGGAGCCTACAGGACCCGAGTTCAAATCCTGTGCAGAGATCCGGAGGGCTTGGCAGGAGAAGGAGCGGAGCACTCTGGACATTTTGAAGAAAGGGGGCAAGGGGGCAGGTAGGGGGTTGCCCTCCGCCCTGGAGACGCTGGTTTACGCCGAACCCTTGTGCATCGTGGAGGATTCGGACTTGGAGGAACCGCACTCGGGACCGAGCAGAGACACGGAGGAGGAAGCCCACGGTCCGGGGACGAAGGAGAGACAGGCGGCTATCGCGGGCGATGGATCTCGGGGATACCTGCCCGCCCTGGACCTCTACGAGAGCAACGGGGAGCCGTGTCTGTTGGAGAACTCGGAGCGCATCATCAGCAAGGTGCAGGCCTTGGCCAAAATGTACAGCGAGAAAATCAGCCGCCTGAAAGCCCAGGGCAGGGGGCTGGAGAGGCCCCGGGCCCCCCACCACCGGAGGACCCTCGGCAGGAGCCTGGCCGGGGTGCAGGAGGGGAAGCAAGGAGCCGCCATCCCCCACTGTGAGTGAACCCTGTGTGGCATGCGCTTCCGAAACTAGCCTGCCCCCTCCAGAGGATTCTGGGAAAAGGTGGCCATTTTCTCCCAGCATTCCTCAGGACCAGGGTTATATTTGTGTATCCGCAGGGTGCGGGGTGTTGGAACAAGTCCACAGGCTGCTCTTTGTGCCTCTGGGTGGGGTTTTGAGCAAAGCGAGGGGCCAGCACCGATAAGACCCTGCTGTCCACCTGCCTTCCTTGTTTTCATCCGCAAGGTGTAGGGAGGGGGGCGTGGGAAGGGGACTTTGCTAGGAATGAGGCAGCAGTGTTTCTGGGTCCATGGTGAGTTTGGGGGAATTTGGGGGGTCATCTGGGTCATATTTATCTGCGGGGTGAATGTGAGATGGCTTCTGTGGCATTTAAATTCTAGATTAGCGTATGCATTTTGTGCAAATCTGCCTTGATGGGTCCACAATTTTTAAAAAATGCAAATTGTGGACCCATCAAGGCAAATTTGCACCCAAAAAATTGCACTAAAGTATCTAGCAGTGTCTTTGGGTGTTTTTTTTGGGGGGGAAGTCCCTATAATCTCCCCGTCCCCCGTCCCCCTCTTGTCATTTTCCACAGGGGAGATGAGATGGGAATAAGGGGCTCTTGGTTTTTATTCCCTGTGCCTTAAGCATCGTTCATATTTTGTTATTCCCTCTCATCCTTCTGAGCGTGATGAAGGCTTAGCTACACTCATTGCCACATTTTAAAAAATAATAATGGGAAGGAAAAACAGCACAGAACTCAAACTATTGTGTGGAGCACGGGTCTTGAACCCAGTGTGCTGGGACCCCAGGATAGGTTAATAATATAATAATAGAATTGTGGAGTTGGAAGGGACCCCGAGTGTCAATAATAATAATAATAATAATAATTTATTATTTATACCCCACCCACCTGGCTGGGTATCCCCAGCCACTCTGGGCGGCTTCCAACAAAATATTGAAATACAATAACCTATTAATCATTAAAAGCTTCCCTAAGCAGGCCTGCCTTCGGATATCTTCTAAAAGTCTGGTAGTTGTTGTTCTCTTTGACATCTGGTGGGAGGGCGTTCCACAGGGCGGGTGCCACCACCGAGAAGGCCCTCTGCCTGGTTCCCTGTAACTTGGCTTCTCGCAGTGAGGGAACCGCCAGAAGGCTCTTGGTGCTGGACCTCAGTGTCCAGGCAGAACGATGGGGGTGGAGACGCTCCTTCAGGTATACAGGACCGAGGCCTTTTAGGCTTTCACGGTCAGTGCCAACACTTTGAATTGTGCTCGGATACGCACTGGGAGCCAATGTAGGTCTTTCAGGACTGGTGTTATGTGGTCTCGGCAGCTGCTCCCAGTCACCAGTCTAGCTGCCGCATTCTGGATTATTTGCAGTTTCCAGGTCACCTTCAAAGGTAGCCCCACGTAGAGCGCATTGTGGTAGTCCAAGCGGGAGATAACCAGAGCATGCACCACTCTGGCGAGACAGTCTGCGGGCAGGGAGGGTCTCATCCTGCGTACCAGATGGAGCTGGTAAACAGCTGTCCTGGACACAGAATTGACCTGCGCCTCCATGGACAGCTGTGAGTCTAAAATGACTCCCAGGCTGCACACCTGGTCCTTCAGGGGCACAGTTGCCCCATTCAGGACCAGGGAGTCCTCCACACCTGCCCGCCTCCTGTCCCCCCAAAACAGGCCTCCTGTCTTGTCAGGATTCAATCTCAATCCGTTAGCTGCCCTCCAAGCTCTTGACAGAAGGCGCTGGCACTAATTGAGCCCTGCTGCCTTCTGGACCCTATTGTTCTAGGACCAATCAGACTGCTGCATTCTGAATCCTATTGTTCTAGGACCAATCAGACTGCTGCATTCTGAATCCTATTCAACTCAGTACATAGCAGGCCATCTCTGCAAGCCCGATGCTCCCCAGAGCGGCATTTAGGTTGTCCAGATGTTTGCCGTTGGCACACCTGCCTCTCATCTCAGCCATGGCAAGGGCAGCCGGGGCGTTCAGATCATTGGGAAAGGGTCCCGAGGGTCATCTAGTCCAACCCGCTGCAGTGCAGGGACAGTGTTGCGTGGAGCTGTCTGAACTGCACCTCCCCTCGTCCCAAGCTCCCCAAATTCGTCTTTGGTGCTGGGCAGTATCTCCTTCCCCTGGCTGCGAGATGCAGCACTCAACAGGCGCCCGGATCCTGGCCTCGTCTTGAAAGCACCGCAGCTGGTTACATAATGCAATTAAGCACTTCATGTTCTAATTAAAGCAGAGCCGTAATTAAGATCCAGGGGGCTAAACGGAGACGGCTTGGATTTGTGCATGTGGAGTGAGAGAGAGGAACGGGAAGATTTGCTCCAGGCAGCCCTTTCCTTGAAGTTGCAGCTTTCCCCTTTTTCCGCCGCTGAATCCTTTCTCTTTCCTGATGATCCCTAGCATGGAATTTGTCTTTTTGTGGGCTGCCACACGCTGGGTCGACATGCCCCAGGATCAGACGGCAAGCCGTGCCAGAATCAGCTGACCCAGAAATTGGGATCCAAGGGGAAGTTTGGGATGTGTGTGTGTTGTGTGTTGTGTGGTGGTTTCCATCTGAAAAGCAAACTGTGCCCTTGGTTTACCCCCTGCTATTATACCGCCCTAAAGCCTCCCTTACCGATCTTTTTTGTTCTTCCTGATTTTCAGGAGGCCATTCTGAGTCGTGTTGTGAAATTGGGAGGGGGGGGGAGCTGCTGGCCAGTGGGGAGCTTGGCATCCTATCCCCCCCCCCCCCGTTTTCTGACCTCTCCACTCTCACTATGCAAGAAATGTATGCAAAACAAGGCCAGCTGGAGTCTCTTATCTCCCTTGGACTTTTGTGTCTGTCTTCCAAGATTTTGCAGTCTGCGTCCAGTGCGGGGGGGGGGGGCAGAATTTTTTTCTTAAATCATAAGCGTTTCCTTTTGCATCTCAGGGCAAAGGGAAGCTCAGAGAAGCTTCCAGAGGGTGCGATGGCTGTTGCCTTAGGAAATAGCATCGCAGAGCAGCAACTAAGCAGGGGTTTCGGACACCTCTAAAATTTGAAGGGATGCGGGACCTAAAATCGCTTTTTAAAAAGGCTGCTGTGTGCAGACCCTCCAGGTATTTTCCAGGGACAGTCCTGGATCTACAGAAGCCATCCCGGTTTCTGATTTAATCCCAGAATGTCATGCTTTTCCTTAAGAAGTCCCTATTTTCACTGGAGAAATGTTGGAGGGTATGGAGTTGTACAGCCCGCAAGCCAAGGAGATAAGTAATTATACAACCTTTAGAAGACAGCTGAAGGCAGCCCTGTACAGGGATTTTTAAAAAACATTTAATGTTTAATTATGTTTTTATATATGTTGGAAGCCACTCGGAGTGCCTAGGGCAACCCAGTCAGATGGGCAAGGTATTAATAATAATAATAATATTGATGTCCCTATTTCCAACAGAGAAATGTTGGAGGGATTGCATGTTTTAGGAGGAAAGGCCATTTCCAAAAGATGACCACAGTTGCCTCAGTGAACAGGCCAGGGTGACCTTAACCCTCACTATCTCCAGTCAGAAACCTACCCCCCAAAAAAGATTAATCAACTCTCGCTTGGGTTGATTGATCTATGGATTAAGCCATGGGGGGGCAACCTAAGGCCCGGGGGCCAGATCCGGCCCAATCACCTTCTCAATCCAGCCCGTGGATGGTCCAGGAATCAGTGTGTTTTTACATGAGTAGAATGTGTGCTTTTATTTAAAATGCATCTCTGGGTTATTTGTGGGGCACAGGAATTTGTTCATATTTTTTTTCAAAATATAGTCCGTCCCCCACAAGGTCTAAGGGTCAGTGGACCGGCCCCCTGCTGAAAAAGTTTGCTGACCCCTGGATTAAGCCAATGCAAGCTTTTGACCCTAGTTGATTTCATCTCCCCCTGAATGAGGAGTCAGGTTTTTCACGCTGCCTCCTGCCTCTCCCTCTCTCTCTTTCTGCAGGTGAGCCCCGAATCTACGGCCACGTCCTCATCCACGAGCCCCTGCACCACGTGGTCCGAGTCCAGGAGAACACGTTGCTCGCGGCTACCACCCGGGGGACGGCCCTGGACCTACGTGCTGAGAAGCCCTGCCCGCTCCTTTCCCCAGAACTCCTGGGTCCCCTACGGCAGGGACTTCTGTGCCCCGCACCCCAACCTTCATGCGTCGGGTCTGACGCCTCGGCACCTGCCGGTAGGGAGGCGCTCCCAGAAGGCAAGCAAAGCAGAGGAAGGCCAGGAAGCCCCAGACACTCCCCGTCGCCCGGACCTGCTGTGGATCCCCTGGCCAAAGAGGCTTGCAGATTGGGGGAGCCTCCTCTGCACCCCAAATTCATAACCGAGAGAACCACGCTTGGAGCCGCGAACACAGAGGAGACCACATCTGCGTCAGAGCCGGCTGGGGAGATGGAAGAGGCAACACGGTCATCTTCTGGGCCTGGGGTGCAGCCGGCGGGTGCCGTAGGAAAAGGGGTGCCCAGCCGTTCCCACAACTCCCAGAGACTCACTGACCTGGAAACCCGAAACTCTTCTGTCTTCCCAGGCTCTGTAGAGGAACCGAAGCCCAGTTTGCCCAGTTCTCCAGCTGCTCCCCCAGCAGGGCAGGCCTCCCCCCAGAACCAGGAAGGACCCCCCTCCTATACAAGCTCTGGGCTGCAGCTGTCGGCAGCCGGCAGTTCAACAGGAAAAGGCTCGGCACCTTTCCAGGAGAACGATAAAGTCCGTACAGAGCTGGCAGCATCAAGCAACGAATCCTTCAAAATGCTGCCCGGCGTCCACAGAACTGTGGCCCTGGATTCTACCCCAAAGGCCACGGTGCTCCTACCACTGGCTTCCTCAGGCCCCACGGAGGCCCCGCTGCTGATGCCCCGCAGCATGGAGAATTGCCCCGTCCAAGAATCCCCTTCCCCGACCCGGCCCGATTTCCAGGCGGCAACAGAGCTTCCGGTCTCCGCACCACAGCAGCGCGCGCCGGCCCCGCTCCCGAAGCTCCTCCCCGCCTCTCCGGTCCGCAGGTGCCTCTCCTCTAGTGCGGCGGCCATTTCCAGGTACATCGCGGCCTCCTGCATCAGCCAGAGCCTGGCGCGGAAAAACGGCGGCCCTCCTCATGAGGAGATGCAGGTGCCGTTCCTGCCTCCCGCCTCTGGACCGACGCTCCCGAGACCCCTGGCAAACCCTTTGGCTCTGCTCCCCAAGGGGGCGCCCAAGGCCCACGCCAACCTGGGGAAGCCAGAGGCCTTGTTTCCGAGAGACGCGCCTCCGGCCCGCTGTTTCGGGCCCCTCTCTCCTCCCCGCCGCCGAGCCTTGTCCGCAGCAGCCCAGGCCTTCGAGAACGGCGTCCCCTTCTCCTCCGCCTCCGAGCCCAACTCCAGGGTGCAGTCGCCCTGCCCCGTAAAGCCCAGAGTCTGCTCCCCGCCTCCAAGCGGGCCCCGGGCCTGCAGCTTTGCCCCCTTGTGTGCCCAGCCTCCCGGGCAGCCACCCGCCCACATTGCCTCCCCAGTGCCGTTGGTGCCAGACTGTGCCACGGGGCTGGCCGCGCGGCCTCCTTTGAGGCCACGGGGAAACAGCCTCCCCAGCGGGGGGCTGGCCGAGACCCCAGCCGTAAACGGGGACCAGGCGCCGCTAAGGTGTGCCAAGGGGGCTCCCCAGAACTTGCCCACTCCGACGCCCAGAGGCTCCCCCGGTTCCCACGAAATTGGCAGCATCAAGTGGCCCAACGTGCCAGGCCTGTGTCTGAAGTACGTGGGCAGGGAGTGCCGGCCGAGCTCCCAGAGGAGGCCGCTTGAGGGGGAGGGCTGCCCCGAATCGGACTCCCCCGTAAGCACGGACCCGGCGCAGCTCTCTGAGAAGAGCCAGCAGAGGGCCAGTTACTCGACGACGGTGAATATCCAGATTGGTGGCAGCGGTAGGATCGCCTCCTTCAGCAACGCCCAGGTCAGCCTGACCCACCCGCTGCTGCCCACCCCGGACCAGCCGAGCGTCAGGAAGGTCAACGGCAGTGCCTTAGAGGGGGGGCCCAAAACGTGAACTTTCCGGGTCCTGCCCGGGGCTAGGACCAAGCCCTACCACTGCGCCCAGGGAGGGGGTGAGAAGGCGGGAGTGGCAGGAGAGTTTAAGGGAGATGAATTGTGGGTGTGCAGTCCGAAAGATCGGCAAAGCAGCTCCCTCCCCCCCCCCCAAATGCCACAGGGAAAGGTGATTTCTCCTCCTTCCCCTCTTTGAACCTCACTCTGTTGGGAATGAATAATTCGCCTGGGTTGGAGTCAGTTTCAGTTCATTGGTAGCAGCCAGAAAGGTGAGTTGGGTGCCGAAACAATTGGGGTCACTGTTTCAGGTGCATGTGTGTGTGTGAGGGGGGTCATTTTCTCATGTTTCTTGCCCCCACTGCCCTGCCTTTCTCCCCCCAGATTTAGGACAGGTTATGGTGGGTTTTTGTTTTGGAAGAGATCCAGAGCTCCCAGTAAAGACGTATTATTTGTTAAACCACTGTACAGCCGCATCCGCCTTGTACATTTAAAGCGCTGTGCTGCCCCCTTTAAACTGTCATGGCTTCTCCCTCCCGCACAGAATTCTGGGAGCCCTAGTCTGCGATGGGTGCCCAGCGTTGACAGGAGACCCTCGTATTTCCCTCCCGGGGCCACGATTCTCCCTGGGAACTGTAATCTACCGTTCGTTGTCGTGAGACCACAATCTTCCTCTGTCCCTCTGCAACCTTGCATAATTTCATAATTGATATCTCGGTTGGCCCCTTCTGACCGTTTGCCAGCCATGGTTTATTTATTTTTATTTTCTGAGGCGAGCGGAACAGCGTTCCGAATGTGGCTGTGCCATGGACTTCCGTAAACTGGCAGTGTATAGCATCGCCAGTTTCGTTTGCGGTCCGACTCCTGATAAAACGGGATTTGCCTTTCTCTCTTTGCAATAATGGAGGAATCCCTGACGGATGGGCACCCAACCCCTGTTTAAAAACCTCCGACGAAGGAGAATAGCTCTCACCGTCAGAATGGTCTTCCTAACATTTAGTTGGGATCATGACCCTGAACTTTTGTTTACCCAGGGCTTTGGGGAAGCTCAAATATACGGTGCGTTCCTACCACAGCAGTCCATTCCATCCCCACAGACTTGTTGTCCCTGCCAAAGCACTCCCAAAAAATTGGTGAAAGAAGGAGTTTCCTTTGCGGAAGCCATGCTGATCTTTCCTTCCTTCCTTCTATATCCTTAACAATGCTCTCTTTAATAAGGCTTTCCACCAGTTTTCTAAGGGCCAATGTTAAGCTAATGGATTCATCATTATCTGTCTCCCTCTCCTGCTCCCACCAATACCCTTTTTTAAACAAATTAAAAAATGGTATTACCTTGCCTGTTTTCCCCAGCAAAGAATTGACTTTTACTGACATGATTTCAGCAGCCAAATCTGTCCGTTTTCGTTGAGATCAGCAGGTTCACTTTTCAGTCAAAGAACTGCCATTCTGTGCAGACTTGTGAATTTGTCATTTCTCAGTTTGCCCTGGAATATCATCTCTGATCTTCTCTGTCTACTTATTTCTTCAGACATACCCCGTCCCCTGGAAGAAGAAGAAAAGGTGTGGGTATCTGCCCAACATCTTCCACTGATTGTGAAAAGAAAGGCAGGTCATTCATTCATAGAATAACAAAACAGTAGAGTTGGAAGGGATCTCCAAAGGTCATCTATTCCAACCCCGGGCAATGAATACATCTCTGCAATCTCTCTCTCTCTCCTTTTTTTTTTATTTTACCACACCTTCCACTCTGTTGTCATCCAATGGTCCTTCCATTTCCCTGGACAATTTCCTGCTTTTGGTGTATTTCCCAAAAATGTTTCTTAACAGTTTTAGCAAGATGCTCCACAAATTATTTCCCCCACCCCAAACCGTATCATCAACTTACATCCGCTGTGCCAGACAGAGCTTCCTCTCAGTTTTGTTCTCCTTTGGCCAAGACCTGGCACCTTTTTAGAACATCCTTGCCTCTGCTTGTTAGCCACGCTGGCCTCCTCTGAGATGTCCTCATTTCTTCTGGCTCACAGCCCAGCTGAGCTTCTGTTGTGGTTTTACAGAACCTCCAAGAATCTTTCAAAGAGGGGATCCCACCTCCTTGACTCTCCCTTCCAAGAAGTCCTCCTGGTTTTTGAGAAACTTTCAGACGGGTTCCTCTTTAAAACAAGCACCAGTGGCTCCTCTTGCCAGCGTAACGCCCAATTTCTTATATTTTCAGGGTCCTTTTTATTCTCCTTTGCACCATCTGGCCCTGTCGTGCAGGACGGCCAAGAAAACATCCCAAGATATCCTCTGTTAGGAACTGAACGGCGTGTCAGTGTTCTCCTCCCACAATTGTGGAAGTCGCTAGCAGAGGAATTTCAAGGGCTAAAAGTATCTTCGTGCCAGAGGCAGCCTAGCGCCTCCATCGACTCAGACCCCAGTCCAGCTAGTTGTGGTGGAAGTAGACCAAACTTCCTGATGCCCTTCAGATGCCCCCCATGTAAGAACACCAGAAGACCCCTGGTGGATCAGGCTAGTGCCCCATCCAGTCCATCATCCTGTCCTCGCAGTGGTCAAACACCCCTAGGAACCCAGGATAGACTGCCTCTGGACCTGGGGACTCCATTGTTGTTGTTTAGTGGTGTCCGCCTCTTCGTGACCCCATGGACCAGAGCACGCCAGGCACTCCTGTCTTCCACTGCCTCCCGCAGTTTGGTCAGACTCATGCTGGTAGCTTGGAGAACACTGTCCCACCATCTTGTCCTCTGTTGTCCCCTTCTCCTTCTGCCCTCCATCTTTCCCAACATCAGGGTCTTTTCCAGGGAGTCTTCTCTTCTCATGAGGTGGCCAAAGTCTTGGAGCCTCAGCTTCAGGATCTGTCCTTCCAGTGAGCACTCAGGGCTGATTTCCTTCAGAATGGAGAGGTTTGATCTTCTGGCAGTCCATGGGACTCTCAAGAGTCTCCTCCAGCACCAGAATTCAAAAGCATCCATTCTTCGGCGATCAGCCTTCTTGATGGTCCAGCTCTCACTTCCATACATCACTACTGGGCTCCATTAGGAACTCAAGAAAGAGCCTGGCTGCTGGATCAGGTCCATGGCTCTTCTAGTCCAGCATCCTGTTCTCACAGGGGCTGACCAGATGCCTTTACTGGGAAACCCACGAGCAGGATTCAAGCACAACAGCCCTCCTGCGGTTTCCAGGAACGGTCCATCCGAAGCATTGGAGGCAGGGCATAGCCATGGTGACTGGTAGCCATCAGGAGCATTCTCTGTGCCCTCCATGCTTTTGCCCAGTCTTCCTTTAGAGCCATCCAACTTGGTGAATCATCACCAAGCAGCGGGGAGTTCCATAGTTCATTGGGCGAAGAAGCAATGTCCAGAGACATCTGGAGGAGCCCAGGTTGGAGAACGATGAGCTACCGTATTTTTCGCTCTATAAGACGCACCCGACCATAACACACACCTAGTTTTTAGAGGAGGAAAACAAGAAACAAGAAAGCAACGCAAAGCCTCTTGAGCGAAGAGGCAGGAGCGCTCCAGCTGCGCTCAAGAGGCTTTGCGTGGCTATCCCTGAAGCCAGGAGAGCAAGAGGGATCGGTGCGCAATGATCCCTCTTGCTCTCCTAGCTTCGGCGATAGCTGCGCAGCCTGCTTTCGCTCCATAAGATGCGCACACATTTCCCCTTACTTTTTCAGGAGGGGAAAAGTGCGTCTTATAGAGCGAAAAATACAGTAACTAGAAATCGCCAAGGGAAATATACAACGGCTTCTGACCCCATTACCTTGGGGAAGGGAGAATTGGGGACTGGGAAGGAAAGGGGCCTTTATTTGACCAATGAGAAGGAGGGAACAAGGAGGGGGTCTGGGCAATGGGGATCAGGAAGTGTTTCAAGCCAGGTACGTTTGTGAGAGAGAAAGAGAATTTGGTGGAGAACGGGGTGGAGTTCATGTGAGGCATGATGGCAGCCGCACCCTGTGGATTATGGGGTTCCCAAAATGAGTGTGATCCGGATCTGATTCATGGGGCATAATCTAGCCCAGTGGTTCCCAAACTTTTTCCATCCACCGCCTTCCTGGGTTCCTTTACTCCCCGACCCTGCAAAAAGCATTCAGAGTAGTGGTTTGCACAGTGCACTAAGGAAGATAATGCAATAAAATTCAAAACAGTAGCAATCAATGGCACACCTATTCAGAATCCAGTCGGAATGCTTTCACTTAATTAATTTGACACAGTTGATGAAGTTGATCAGTGATGCCAGAGAGTCATTTATACCTTCTTAGAGCCACACACAAGGACGCGGGTGGCGCTGTGGGTTAAACCACAGAGCATAGGACTTGCCAATCAGAAGGTCGGTGGTTCAAGTCCCCGCGACGGGGTGAGCTCCCGTTGCTCGGTCCCTGCTCCTGCCAACCTAGCAGTTCGAAAGCACGTCAAAGTGCAAGTAGATAAATAGGTACCGCTCCGGCGGGAAGGTAAACGGCGTTTCCGTGCGCTGCTCTGGTTCGCCAGAAGCGGCTTAGTCCTGCTGGCCACATGACCTGGAAGCTGTACGCCGGCTCCCTCGGCCAGTAAAGCGAGATGAGTGCCGCAACCCCAGAGTCGTCCGCAACTGGACCCAACGGTCAGGGGTCCCTTTACCTTTACCTAGACACACACAGACACACACACTGGTAATCCCACCCCCCACTCTGGGAACCACTGGTCTAGTGGGAAGACCTCCTGCACAAGCCTTACTTTAACAAATGGGGTTGGGGCTGCCTTGTGCCCCATTTGAACCCGGGTGGGTATGTCTGAGTGTGAAGGGGGTGGGGGTCTAGTCTGGATTTTCTGCCAGAGGTATGCAACGGTCTTGTGATCCTGTGGATCAGAGGAGCAACCGGGCGATTGGCTCAGCGACCAGGACTCCAGAATCAGTTTTTTGCTCTTCAAACGTTTCGGATGTGAAACCACTTCCCTTTTTTTTTTGCTGCCTTCCGCCCAGAAGTTTCCAAGTTGCTTCAGTTTAAACCTTGCGAGAAAATGAACGTATGCACTTTTTTTATTCAAGGTTGCACGCTGCCTTTTCTAGGGAATCCCCATTGGTTAACAGATTTTGTGTGCGCGCGTGTTTTACAAAAATGTCTATTTATAGTGGCACGGTTGTGTGTGTGTTTAATTTAACAGCAAGGGGGGTGTTCCTTTCGACCTCCTCAGAATGGGTACTGGTTTTTTAAATCTCCCCACCCATGTAAATAAACATTGATAACACCGGCCTCCTCCTTTTATATATTGATGTCTTTCTCCCCTTTGTCTTCCCCCTCGTGGGGTGTACATAAAATCAATTTATAATATGACGTGGAGCTGTTTCTTTTGAAAAGGAGTGGCATCACCAGAGCAAATAAATGGGAAACTTTTTATCCACGAAGCTGGAGCCAGTCTTTTCCTTTGTGTTTTTGAAAAATTCTTCAGGTTATTTTCCTTTTTTATTTTGCATTTGGGCCAGTCTTCTGCTTGCCCCTGCACTGATTTTATCTTGGGCACTGAAATGAAATCACCACCGCCACCATCATCATTTATTAGATTTATCATTCCTTTTTTTTGCTACGGCAACTCAAAGAGAGTTGCAGTATTTTAAGCAAAAGAACAAACTCATGCATATATTAAAACCAGCAAATAAACACCTTCTAAGCTACCTTAGGACCCATGCAAAACAGCCAGAGATATTTAAAAACCAAAGGTCTGGTTAAAAAAGAAAGACATGTAATGAAGGTGTTAACGGGGAAATCTGAGGGCTCCCTTGGACAAAAAACAGGGACCCCAGCCAGGAATCCCAGAGCAAAACAGCAGCCAGGAGGCTTGGTCTTGATTGAAGACTGTCGCGACAGGACTCCCTCCTGCCACCAGGTGGAACAAGATGGAAGCCCAGTACAAAAGAGAACCCAAACTTTTATTAGGTGCTAATCCCCCAAACTACACCCCTAGAACTACATCACAACTACATCATTGACACATCACGAAAAGGAGGGGTTGTGGAAGTAACCTGAATATCTTGTCACCTGGCCGGTTCCTCCTTTCCCCCTCCCCATGAGTCATTTCCAGAGGACAATGGGGAGCTGGCAGTTTCCTGCCCCCAGAGGGAAGATCTGATCATTGTCCTTTGTTCCAGTCCCTGTTGAATCCACTCCCATATGCAAGTTCTTTGTGTCCTTGATGGTCTTCTGTCTGGGACCATCAAGGTTGCCATGCCAACTGGGCAGGGCTCCTGAGTACATGTTAGTACGCTCAAAGGATTATGGCCATCCTGTATCAAACCACCCCCCTTTGATAGTCCTTCCTTCATGGAGTAAAATAAAAGTGGACCGGTGTAAATCCGATGTACGGTTGATTTACCATGAATTTATAACAGAAACGTCACGTATGTCGTGTGTGTGTGTGTGTCGTGTTTGTACAAACTGAATGATTGGGGTTTGGTTTTTTTTCTGCAACAAGGTGCCATGTGAACCTCCCTAGGGAGAGCATTCCATAAATGGGGAGCCACTGCAGAAAAGGCCCCGTTCTCGTGTTGCTACCCTCTGGACCTCTCATGGGGGAGACACATGAAGAAGGTCTCAGGTGACGATTGCAGGGTGTGGGTCAGTTTGTATGAGGAGAGGCAGTCCTTGAGGAATGAGGTCCTGAGCCAGGTAACATTTTATATGTCAAAGCCATTGGTAGCCTTATCCTCTGTGCATTTTCCCAGTTCCCCCTCACAACGCTCCTGTTGTGCCTTTTCCCCAGAGAAGGTGCGTGGGGAATCAAGGGGGAGGTTTCTCCTCCACGATGACCCATCTCCTACAGAAGAACATTACGTGGGGCTACCTTTGAAGGTGACCCGGAAACTGCAACTAATCCAGAATGCGGCAGCTAGACTGGGAGCGGCCGCCGAGACCACATAACACCCATCTTGAAAGACCTACATTGGTTCCCAGGACGTTTCTGAGCACAATTCAAAGTGTTGGTGCTGACCTTGAAAGCCCTAAACGGCCTCAAAGGCCCAGTATACCTGAAGGAGCGTCTCCACCCCCATCGTTCTGCCCGGACACTGAGGTCCAGCTCTGAGGGCCTTCTGGTGGTTCCCTCCCCACGAGAAGTGAGGTTACAGGGAACCAGGCAGAGGGCCTTCTCGGTGGTGGCGCCCGCCCTGTAGAACGCCCTCCCATCAGATGTCAAGGAAATAAACAACTACCTGACATTTAGAAGACATCTGAAGGCCGCCCTGTTTAGGAAAGGTTTTAATGTGTGACATTTTAATGTGAGAGAGAGAATGTGAGAGTAGGGGCGGGGAGTGTCATGCTGGGATGTGGTTTGGGTGTCTGCAGGTGAACTTTGAGGCACTATGGCAGCCGCACTCTATGGATCCTCTTTCAAAGGCATCCAAGATGGTTGCAATCCCTGCCTCCTGTGGCAGGGAATGTGGGAATGTTCAGGGTGGCAGGAGAGGATATGTTATTTATTAATATCCTTCCTAACTTGCGCTAGCAAGTTTCTTCATGTAGCAGAGTTACATTCCCCTTTCTTGCATGCACAGCAGATAGCTGGTTGCAAGCTCGTGTGAGCCTCTTACTATTGTACAGTTAAGTCTGTCTCAGACTGAAGTGTAAGTTTCTGGTAAGTTCCGTTTAAAAGGTAAAGGGCCCCCTGACCATTACGTCCAGTCACAGACGACTCTGGGGTTGTGTTCTCATCTCGCTCTATAGGCCAAGGGAGCCGGCATTTGTCCGCAGATAGCTTCCAGGTCATGAGGCCAGCATGACTAAGCTGCTTCTGGCAAACCAGAGCAACGCACGGAAACGCCGTTTACCTTCCCACTGGAGTGGTACCTATTTATCTACTTGCACTTTGACGTGCTTTCAAACTGCTAGGTTGGCAGGAGCAGGAACCGAGCAACGGGAGCTCACCCCGTTGTGGGGATTCGAACCGCCGACCTTTAATCCCTCTTCAAAGAGGACAGACACAACAATCTTATTCAAAGTCTATAAAAGAACTTTACTCACATCAGTTCACAGTTGGATTCCTGGAGGCAGACTTAGTTACAAATATGTACATGTGGATCTATCCCATATGGGGGAATAGTCCCAATTCTTCTGCTAGCTGGGAGCTAGCAGGACAGTCCTAGCTAGAAGCTGATCAAACGAAGAAGGAAGGGAAAGAGAGAGAGTGCTGCCTGACTCGCCCTTTTGTTACCTGGACGGTGTGCTGGTCCCGTGGGTTACCCAAGAGGCGAGGTCCAAGTCTGGTCTGTAGTCAAAGGTGCAACATGGAGGCAGTCCGTAGTAGCTGAAACTGGGAGCAGGGCAGCGAGTTGGGTGAAGTCAGGAACAGGCTTGCAAGCAGGGAGCCAGGGCTGGTTAGGAGCTCAGGCAGGAAAGCAGGACAGGGTTCTGTCCAACAATGTTGCTCCCACAACTTGGGACTGGGGCTGGCTGGCTTTTATCTGCCCCGAGGCATAGGGCGGCCCCGATCCTCAGGTGACTCGCCTCTCCTG